AAACAATTTGCAGTAGCACTGCATAGTGGTAAGACATTTCTATTGTCAAATTCTTTCACACAAATGAAAAAGATGGAAATTACAACTGATATTCAAGATAATATAAAGACATATTCCTTGGCAGCTGTCTATAAAAAGAAACGAATATTGGAGTTATGGGTGGGACAAAGTTTTGGTAAAGTATCAATTTATGTTTTAAAAGACAACAGTTTAATAGATACAGTACAACTTTCTCATGTAACTGGAGAAACAGCTATTAAAAATTTATTTGCTACGCATTTATTGAGTGCTGAAAATTCTGTGTTATCGTACACATATCCTGGATGTATTGTGTATCAATGGGATGTGGATACTAGGCAAATAATAAATAAATTAGATATGTCTAAATTAGTACCTTGTTCAGAAAGTTTAAAGTCCATTTCTATAGAAGAAAATTTATCAACAGAAAAGTGCCAAGTAACAGCTTTGGAAGCTTGTAGGAATCAGTTATATATTGGTACTACTTGGGGATGTATTGTAGTAGCTGAATGTAACTCTCTTAGACCGATTACCGTTTTCAGACCTTTCGAAGGTAAGGTATGTCAAATAATATCATTTAAATCAACAGATGAAAAGAAATTAGTACTAGCAACTGTTGGCCAAGGTTACAGAAGTTTAATTTCACGATATACAGATTTTCTGATTGACAGTTTAGATGCAGAAGATCTTAAGCATAGTATGTATGCTCTCTTATGGAGATCTGAACATTGGTCAGCTGCTTAACTATAATGTTTTATGACAAAGTAAAGCCAAGTGTGCTTTATGGTGCAAAGATAAAAGTGATATAACTGGTTGAGAATTCTATACGTCCATGATATATTTTAGTCTGTAGACTTTAAGCTTTCTATCTTGCCTCATCTTGTATTTTTTGAGCTGAAGATAAAAATATTTATCTTTTAATATGTCCAAGCTAAATGGTGCTTGATTGATATATTCTCTGCAAATCTTCATTTACAAAATAATCATAATTTAAGCAGGATATTTTTATCTTTATGTGATGTATCACAGTATAGTTTTATAACTTATTATATAAGTACTTAGATTTTTAAAATAATGATATATTCATTTAATAAAAAGAAAGAAGTAGAAAAAGGGATTATTAGCCTCGCAACATATTTGAAAAATTATTTAATGATCTCTGAAATATCACAAAATATTTGTATATCGGATACTGTTTAGCATATGTGCTTTTAGTTGATGGAAAATCAGCAAACAGGTACAATTAATGTAGTACCAATGTAACATATTTGTATAATGTCTGCTTAAAAATCTTTCTTGATATAATCTAAGATTAATGAGTGATAAAAAGTAATGATTACTAAGATGGTTTTATTACTAAAAAGATTATCAAATTAGTATAAAGCCAAATTTTATTATAATAATAAAAATGTGAAAGTGAATTTTTTAATAATAATTAATATTATTAATAATGTATAGCAGGGTGTGTGTTAAGAATGAAAGGTGAATGTTATGAGATACGATCTAATGCTGGTAGTTCTTCCATAGTTTCAATGTTATACTTAAGAATTAGGTCTTGACCTCGGTACAAAAAATATCCTCTGAATAATTCCCCTCGTAACATGTAAGGGAACCAATATTCATCATCCGGCCACATTTTTTTGAAAGGAATATCTTTCAAATTATACCATTTTGGTCGCATTTCTGAACAAAAGAATATAAATATAATTACAGTGTATTTATTATATTTTTAAGTAGGTATACGTTAGATATTACAAAAAAAGTGTAATAGATATCTTTTTAAACCTTTTTATTTTGCTCAAACATATTCTAGTTTCTTTGTCCTTCTAATTGTTTTTATAGTTTGCATAGTTTAAACAATAACATGCAATTTCATGATTATGATTAGATAGATATTATTGCAGTATGATTAAAATAAAGAAATATAGAGACATGGAATAATAACTAATATTGCACATAAAAATATACATAATTAATAATAAGAATAAATACTTGATAATAATGTAATATTAATTTTAGTTATAATATTAATGTTTGAAATTTAAATACCTTCAGATTCTATTATCTTTCCACAATACTCATATGTTTCAAAAACATGAACTTCTAATAGAACTTCATCTCCCTCAAATTCAAATTCTAAAATTCCAACTTTTTTTAATTTTTGTGCAGATAAACCACATTCTTCTTTTAATTCACTATAAAATTATACACTGATAATTTAAGAAGTATACACTTTAATTTTTATCTCGTTTATGTGTGATAGCAATATTATAAAACGCTACATGCAATAATCATATTATATTGCATACATTTTATTTTTAACTTATCTTAAATATCTTTTCTATTATTTTTACCAATTACTATCACAATTTTAATTTAAGTGTAATATTTTGTATTTATTTAATTATTTAAAATTGTACCTGTGTATACATGATGATTCATGAAAAATATTTTAGAATTACCTTGTAAAGGTATTATGTGCAGAAATAGGATTAAATAAACAATTTAAATAGGATTTAAATAGGATTAAATAAACAATGTAATGCCATATAACGTTTTTTAGATATATGGCGTTATTAGAAACCATAAATAAAAAATCTTGTGTATAACAATTTTGTTTCTATATTCTAAATAAAAAGATCTCTGATATTCATAAATATTTTTTCTTTAACTTTGTCAAATTTATATTATTATTATTTTCATGACTCATCCTGTATATAATTAAACAAAGTGATAAAAATCTTTGTTAAAATTCGTTGTTATTTAATGTATCAGTTATTATGAAATATAAGATATTGTTGAATATAATATTCTTAACTTATTACTAACAATAATTTCTCTTTTTAAAAGTTTATATTATTTAGTTCATATATAGTATAGTAGTACAGTGAAAATTTAAATTTACAACGTTTTTTTCGATTTACATGAGATAATTTCAGTCTATTATTTAAAATTATTTACCGCACAGCTCCTTGAAAAATTGATTCTCCAGGTTCCACTTTACCGCCAAAACCGTTCCATTTATCTTTTCCGAATCCTCGTTTTTTGAAGCCCAATAAAATTTCTACTGTTTTTCTAATAAAGACTAACGAAAAAACTTTTCTTGTAGACATTTTGATCTATAAACTTATCTAGAAACTTGTAGTTTTATTCTATTTTGCGTGTGATAAAATTCTTTTGGAAAATTACAACAGTAATACATTCATAAGGTACTAATTTTGTACAATTTAAAGCTGAAATTGATTTTTGGTTCTTTCTTTAAATAAAGGTTGAATTTACAATAAGAGAGTTATTGTATAATATAAATTTTCACGCTTTAATTTGAAACGTAGTTGAACTGCTTGAAAGGTTATGCTGCTATTAGAATGCTTAAAGTATAGTAACAATAAGGGTAGTTTCTGAACGTACGTTTACACATATTTATTATATCCTTCGAAATGTTATCATAGAAAATTTTATGATGGTATATCTTCTATAATGAAATACGTACTTTCACCACCTAATTTATCTTGTATTACTAATTATATCTTAATATTTATAATAAATAAGCAGATTAGCACTTTTATTAAATTATTCATTTTTTTATTTCAATTGAACGCCACATCAATCACTTGTATGGGTTACTAGTGACTCAAGGGCTAGGTTTATAAATTTTTTTATACAGTTTGATATGTTTAGGTAGCATAGTAGCGTGTAAACTATTGTGTAGCAATGATATATTACAAAATTATATATACATTTAAAGTGATAAGGAAAATCCTTATATTTATTAACAACATATACAATATTAACAAAAACGGGATAGTATGCACAGTGAAGATTAAATACATGTTGCATCTAATTTAATATTATATTTTTCTCTATTCAGTATATCATTATAAATACAATATATACAAATTCTTATGTTTGTTGTTCTTTATCATGTTCAATATTTTTGCGTGGTGTGTGTGGCTCAAAAATTGTTTTATAACTCTTCAATGCTTTCTCATACGCCTCTTCTTTTTTAACACCACCCTATAACAAGTAGAATAAATTTGTAATCTGATTGTCATATAATTAAATATGTTATATAGCATTATGTTTAATAGAATTTCTATTTTATGTTACCTGTAATAAACAATCATAAATAGTGAAAAAGATTTGAGTTTCGGTAATCTTATCTTTTTTCATATCTATAATAGGTAGTGATACATCTTTGTGAAATTTTCTACAAAATTACACATTTGAAATGTAAATGTATGTTATAAGTACATGATGATGATAAATATATATTTTACAACTATTTACATATAATTTGAAATTTTACTTACGCTCTTATAAAATCTTCCTTATAAAATATTTTTTGTATATTCACTGTTGATGTTTTTCTACTAAAAGTTGGTTCATATTGTGGAGGATAGGTTTTGTATATCTCATACCATATTGGTAAATTATCAGGACGTAATACATCTGCATGTAACAGTGACTTTACTCTAAAAATAATTTAGGAAAATAAAATTACCTTGAAATTCTAAAAAATTATTTTTTAGTATAGCTATAGTAATTGATTAAAATAAGTGTTTTCCTTAGGAAAATTGTTTATCTTGAGAACTTCAAGATAACTGAATTTTAACCTTTTATCGCATTTATCATTTTCAATAGAATGAAAATACTTTTATTTATTACCATTAATTTTGTACATAAATAGTAGCGTGTATAATATATGACGTCAAAAATAATCTATATGATAATAAACAATTTATCTAATGGCACAATTCATATAGAATATATTCCTTAAAATTTCATAAACATTTGCAAAATAATTTTACCTTGTAAATATTGTTCCGATTCTTTCTGTTCTACTCTGTGCCATATTTTAAATATAGCGTTATAATTCGTGAATTATAATTTTATGTGTATATTGTAGTATTTAATTGATGTACACTGTGTATACATATATCCTCTTATTTTTTCTGCGAAATTTTAACCATGTGACATTATTCAATTTGATACTTAACCTCAAATGTTTCTATATAACAGCAGTTTAGTACATATAATACTTTTTAGTTTAGAACTTATAAAAAGTGGCATCTATTGTAATTATAATGCAATAAATTTTATAAAACATTAGCAAATTTTATATTTTCAATTAATTTCATTAAGAACCTGAAAATATGTTGCAAGTAAATGAGAGTCAAATATCTGCAATTGGTCGTGTCTTAAATGACCAAAATCGACCATTAAAAGAAAGATTTCGTGCTTTATTTACGTTAAAAAATATCGGTGGAGCTAAAGCTATTCAAGAAATTCATAATTGCTTTAATGATGAATCAGCTTTATTAAAGCACGAACTTGCATATTGTCTTGGTCAAATGCAAGATTCCCGTGCTATACCAATTCTTATAGAAATATTAAAAGACGTTACACAAGAACCAATGGTCCGTCATGAAGCAGGTACTATATATTTATTTTTTATTCTATGTCAAATTCTGTATATTACATATAATAAGTAACATATTTCTTTATAATAGGCGAAGCTTTAGGTGCAATTGGAGATCCTACTGTAATACCAATATTAGAAGAATACAGTAAAGATTGTGTATCAGAGGTTGCAGAAACATGTGAATTAGCGTTATGCAGATTGCAATGGTTAAAATTAAATAGCCATTCAACAAATTTGCAAAAAAGTCTTTATATGTCCGTGGACCCAGCACCACCAGCAGATATTGATGACGTTAAGAAGTTAAAAGAGATTCTTTTAAATGAAAATGTTTCTTTGTTTGAAAGATACAGAGCCATGTTCTCTTTGAGAAATATATGTACTCCAGACAGTATTCTTGCTCTTAGCGAAGGTAAATAAAATAATAATGATCCTCTTCTCCTTTTTCAGCTATATTTTTATAATTTATTGTTTTTATAACTTTAGGTTTAAAAGCAGGTAGTGCTTTGTTCAAACATGAGATAGCTTTTGTTCTTGGACAACTTCAGAAAGAGATTGCTGTCCCACATCTAGAAGCTTCTTTAAAGGACACAGAAGAAAATGAAATGGTGCGTCACGAATGTGCAGAAGCATTGGGTTCTATTGCTACTCCATATTGTTTTGATATTTTAAATAAGTATTTAAACGACAGTAAGAGAGTTGTACGAGAAAGTTGTGTAATTGCATTAGACATGTGCGAGTATGAGAATAGTACAGAATTTCAATATGCAGATACGTTAGGGAAAGTTGCTGCCTAAAATTGCATTTTTACACATCTATACTTATAAATACAATGTTAATGTAATAAATTGTGACTAAAATAAAATTATTCAATGTAGAAATTGCTAAATGTTGTAATTTATTATAAGCAATTATTGTATTAATTTTTAATGATTGTAGTTTACCTTCATTATCAAATGAAACCAGCGAAGGACATGCAAATTTTCGATTGAATCGTGTTCTCGTTTGTTCAAATGAATTTCTTCCAAAAATGAAATTTTGGCATTAAAGTATAATAAGGAAACACGCATAGGACAACCTCTTTTTACATTTTTCTTAACATTAGAGAATCTTTCTATGCAAAGAGAATACAATTTGTTGAAAAATACCTAAGATTCGTAGCAGTGTTAAACGCGATATTCAGCTTGTACGAATATTACACGCGTCACAATATGCCCATACCTTCGTGCATTTAAAATTCCAAAGAAATGGGAAATTTCCTTAATTATAAGTTTGCTGGTTCAAAACTGATTAAGGATTGCGATACGCAACTATGTGTTCAAGTCGAATGCGAAGATTTCAAGAAAGTAAAAGAAATTTGGTTGGCCGTGGAAAAGGATACGTCGCATTATGGATTTGCAATTTGTACTATGTAATTATAAACTGTTTCAGTGTAATCTTTATAAATGCAAATACATACAAATTTATTGAATAGATAAAATATGAAATATACTAACTCACAGGCTTTTTAAAAATCACCCGCAATACGTAAAGTATTTCGAAGATGAATCAATTCCGGAATTCGTCCAAGAAGCTATAATTAAAAAAAAATTTATTACTATATGTGACATCATATGTGCCCTGTTTATAAATTATTACGATAAACCGTCTCGCAGAGATTATTTTCTTGGTTACATCGCAATGGTTCACAAGGACATGGGATTAACGTTTAAAGATCTCGCAGTTTGTTATATTCTCTGCATATAAAGTAGGTGAAGAAATATTATATAATGTAAATTACGTTTCATTTACAGAATTTTATGTCAGATCTAATGGAAGCGTTAATTACCGAGTTACCGTACTTAATGACCGAGGAGTATATTGCGACGCAGACAAAATATTCTAACAATGTAATTGAGATAATGGTAGAACTTATGGACAATTATGTTGAAAGGATGTCACAAATACTACGTACGAGAAATGGAATAAGAAAAGTATATGTTTTAGAAAAAACTTCATTTCATTAATCTGTTGAATGATGGAATGTTAAACTTGTATAAAATTAAGAATAAATTTTAAATAGTGTTATGTGTGCAAACCTGATCCAGAGTCACAGATTGTATATGGTTTTCCATTGAAATATTGGATATATGGAAAACGATATTGGGAATATCGGAAAGCGATGTGGGCATCGATGGAAGCAGATATGTTGACAAATTCGACGGACGATACTAATGCAAGCAATTTTCAAAGAAAAGATTTTCATCATAAGAAACAAACAAAACCGAAAACACCAAAAATAGCCATAAGTTCGGATAGTAACACGTTGTTGGATCAACCAAGACAAAGTAACGCAATATTCCAAGCTATGCAATTTTCCGCTGTACTATTTCTACTACTTAAGATTTAAGAGTACTGTTACAGATATTGTTACGTATGTAATATATGAATATTAATCATAATTATGAATATACATATAATCAGTAAAGTAAATAGTTTTTAATTTTAGTTTTAAGGGGATTAAAAATGTTTTTCCAATCTTTTTCTTTTTCTTTTGATCATACTATTGGAAGGAAGAAGAAGCAGTCGCATCAGCCAGTCGACAAGAATCTCGTTGTTACTATCGAAACGAAACAAAGAAAGACAAGAAACTGAAAAAAACGTTAAATCCAAATTTTCTCCAATGGAATTTATTCTGGAGGTAGACAAATAATCTTTGCTTGTATTGCTTTTATTATAGAAATGATAGTTTATTATCTTGCATGTATAACACATTAATGTTAAAAATAGACACAGTATTGGTAATATCTTCTTCCTTAAGGTGGAAAGCGACCGTGATGGCAATAATGATCCGATAAATTTAAATGGAGCAACTACGCAGAACCCAAAACAATTTTCTGCGGAATTGCAGGAAAGTAAATATATATTATATATACATACGTATATTATTATATTTTATTTTCATATCTGATTTTCATATTTGATTTTCATATTTTCCCTTTTATTTCTTTATCAACTGATATAATCACGAGATAAAATTCTTACGTTATAGATACAAATGCAAAGATCGTGAACCAGACGGCAAGAGAACGTAAACGAATGCGTCACTATCTTACTCATTTCAGTGTTTGAAATTTAGCATTGGCATATAATAAAATGTTTTTTATTCTTTTTTCTTAATATTCTACTCATTTATTTCGTATTAACATTTCCAGAGGTTTGAAGAATTTGCATACATGAACGTATATGAGACGCTCACACTTTCCCGTGGTAATTGAACAGTTTGAAATAGGGTTCCAATGATGCAATGAAAATCACAGAAGAAGTTTAAATAAATAGAATGCATAGGTTTTTTTATTTCGTTTCCTCTTCTCCGCCTTCCGTCTTATTCGAATGTTTAGCTGTGCTTTTATTTAAAATTTCCTGAATCTGACTGAAAGTCTTTCGTGATGTTTCCGGCATGACGACGGAAGCAGTGATAGCAATTATAAGTTCGATACTAGCAAAGATGAGAAATATTAAGTGACTTCCAACATGATCTGATATGAATTGGTAACCTTTGCCTACGATTATGCCGAGTACTGATCCGTAAATATTAGTGACCATGGTTGCCCAATTTTTCATGTCTATCGAGAAAATCTCCGAGGTGACGATCGCTGGAATCGAGCTTAGACCAAATGCGACGCTAACAATGTAAAATATGAGCGCGATTAATGGTATCAAAGAGAGGCTACGAACGTCCATATCTAATTTCTCAAGCAAGAAATACACTCCAATGACGATAAGACATAGCGAACTACCGTACGACGATATTAGGAAAACGGGTTTCCTACCGAGTTTGTCGACTATACACGAAGATATTAAGGATGTAATCATAGATATCGCACTTATTATCAGAAGAATGAAATTATCATCGAAATTTGTATGGAAACTTTTAACCAAAGTGCTGGCATAGGATAAAACGCCCATATATCCGGAAAATTGTTGACCAGAAAGTAATAATAACACGAGCAAAAGCGCTTTTTTGTGTGCCTTCACCGTGAATAATTCCTTGTAGCCACCATGTTTTTCCACTTCTATCGATTTCTTCATCTCCTCTATCTCGTCATTATTGTCATTCTTACGCCTTAGCCATGTCATGGTTAGCGCGGCACATTTTTCCTTATTTTTCATTAAGTAATAATAAGGCGATTCCGGTAACCATATAGCAGTTAATAGAAATAAAGCTGTTGGTATTATATTCATCAATGCGAACGTCTGAAACAAGTGTAAAATACGATATATATATATATATATTGTCTCGTTTGTGATTACTCTTAAGTTGAAATACGTAATATCTATCGATTTTTATCGTTTAGAATTTGATCACTGATTCTTTTCAATATTTTTATCAATGTTCATGAATACAAATTTACAAACATTATACTTCTCTCTTTCGTTATTTTCTGTACTCGTAGATTTTATCTACTTAAGACATATAGATAGACATATAGATAAAGTCATATTTTCGCGTGATTATTATTTTAACAATTTGTTTTGATTCCATAATGATTTCATAACTTTTTAGTCGAAAATCTGAAATAATTACCTTTTTATCCACTCGCGGACCAACTCCGTATACGAAAATATATCCCAAATGAAGCATCACAGGCATCATCGAGCTGCACACTCCTCTAATTTTTGTCTCTACCAGTTCTCCGATATACAGTGGGACTGCGGCGTATAAGATACCGATCGATATACCAGCGCAGAATCTTGCCATGAAAAGATACACCCAGGATTTTTCAAAATACGTGAGTATCCAACAGGCGATAAATGGGACGCTCGTTGCATAGATGAGCCATTTCCTGCCGATGCGATTTAGCAGTAATGCAGATAGAATAGGTCCGAAGACGGCACCAATATTCAACGCAGCAACTACCCAGCCTGCATTGTCGACATTTTTTAGGTCTTCATATTGTTCTACAGCAATTGCTGACCAAGTGAAACATATTCCAGAAGCCAATAGTGTTAGGTTAACTTAAAGAAAAGAAAAACAAAAGATATATATTATATTTCTCGATTACAGTCAGATTACACTAATTGAGAGGCTCAGTGGAAAAATGGTATAAGTGCATTGCTTTCTTTTTCCAAAAGGAAGATAACAAGCAGAAAATAATACGTAACAACCGTATTTATTCAAAGGATTTTATGCCTCTTTTTTTATTATGAGCTTCCAAGCCCTTATGACAACTAGCGTGTTTTAATACACAGTTTTGCCAAATTGAACATTTTATCACTCGTACCATTTTTCCTGTAAATCTCTCGATTATGCAAAAAATTATGTCCATTTCCATTTCTAGGTGATCTTCAAAGTATACTATAATTTTATGCTAATTTTCATCAAGACCTTCATGGACTGTACGGATATATTCAAATGAATTAGAAATAAAGGAGGTCGAAGTTTTGAAGAATTTAACGAGATCGTTATTCTATCAATAGTTAATTCTTAACTCATTCATTATCTCATTCATTTGTGCTATTGAGAAATTTTGCGACATATTGTAGTGTATAATGATAATGATAATGACTATTATTAAGAAGCAAAGTTCGACAGGTTTTTCATGACATGATGTGATAAATAGTGTTTCTTTTGGCGTGATTAGAATCATCAGACACTACTTTTTCATGGAAATTGCTTCATATGCAAAATATATTCATAATTTGCACATATACAACAGAAAATTGGCACAACTTTAGATTCCAAGATCCAAGATTCGAAAATCTTCCGGAAGCTGCATATTTTTATCGTCTCTGATTGCTGAATAATATGAAATTAATGACAATATTACGATTGTATAGCTAAATGTATACCTATATTCACTATTATTACGTTAATAGACTATCATACAAGTACAAAAATTCTGTCGATATTTTTATTGATCCTTTATTGAATTCTATCGATGAACGATGATAATCGGTAACACTAAAGTGGAGAGAGATTTTCCGAATCATTTATTGCTTAAAATCGACAAAATTTTTCCACTCGTCTTATATGTGTAATAGACGATATTTACCTACAATGCTTGATATTAATTGTAAATAAATTCTACTCTTGGCGGGTTTGACTTTCTTCTCGGCACCATCGTCTACTTTTTCTAAATCGACTTCTATATCCGTCATGCTCGTCGTTTCTGACTTTGTTTCCTTTTTCTGCAAAACAACACTTTTCATTATTTTATGCAACTTGAAATTCGATTCGATCGCTAGCAATATAAAACAGTACAAATCGACCGAATTGACGATTTTCCCTTGCATGAGAGGCAACATATTTCGAAATGATTATGTGGCACGTCTAGCTTGTATCTTTTTCTTATTATACGTGAATCTCATGCGAAACAATTAAAATGATGTCGCAATTTTGCCACCTGACAGGTGCACATCAATCCGTATTTGTCACGAGGAAGATGTTTATCAATCACAGCACGTTCCATCATAATAGGAGAAACAACGTAGCCAAGATTTATCATGTCGTTTTGAGAATCCTTAATTTCTTGTTTGTACTAGACATACGTCAAAGGTTTAAACGAAACAATGATTTTTTAGCCTCTTGATTTTCCGACGTTTGTCGAAACGTATAACTCTCTGCATCCTATATGGAAATCCTATGAGAGCTTTAAACGATTAGGTTTGTCTAATATAGTTCGTAGAGTGACGTCAGTGGGAAAAATTATGATCAGGATTATACAGGATCATCCACCTAAATTGGAAACCGCACACGTGAGAACAGATGAGAACGGCAACGGTGTAACATGTACATGTGATGATAGGCAGGAACACAAAGTGGTTTAGTTGTCGCCACATAACTTTAAATTTGACGTCACAAGTGGTGTAGAAGACGATCGCCTTTCTCTATACTCTGTATCATAAAGAGAAGCGAGCATTCATCTCCCTGCGTGCTGACGAAGCTTTCGTGTAAGCAAACGTCCCCACACCGTAACTTTTGATCTTCCTATTTCTTTCAGTATTTTTCATCGTTAACATATTAAATATTTTCTCCTATGCGTTGCAACTTAAAGGTAACACTGACATTCGACAAGTTAGCCGCTGTTATCTGACTTTGGACCGCTCTGCTACGAATAGAAGCAAGGAAAGTAAGTAAGTCCTTTCAACAAAGGAAAGCGTACGACAAAACACCCCAGAGAATTCATATTTAGAGAAACTAGTTTTAAAACGGTTAAAGATTTTAGTTTAGAAATTAATTTGAATACAACTATGTTTATAACTCTATATTTCTAGCGACAGCTCATAGATGGCAGATGTATCGACACATGATTTGGTGGTGAGAGTACATGTTACATTGTTGCCATTCTTACCTGTTCTTGCGGGCGCAGGTTCCAAGTTAAATGAATCGTGCCGCAGGAACCTGGGTCACTAACTTTCCGGCTCATCCTCATGTTTTTCTTTTTGTTTTATATTATGTTATATTATGTTATGTCGTGCTATGTTACATATATCATTGGCTCGTTCTTAGACTGGCAATAAATCGCGTCTGTATCACAGAATAATATTCCTAATGAATTTTAAAGTACGTTATCTTGGTGTGGGTATTTCAAGTCGTTTGGAACGTTTCTGTGATAATTTCTTATGCTTGTAATTGTCATGTTTATCAGTTTTCTGATCTCTTGTAACAAGCTTTCTGGTTTAAGTGTGTACATGTATTCTGTTCCTCGACTTTTAATTTCTTAATTCTTTTTATTTATTTCTTCTGCCGTACCCTTAAGATATTCGTAATAAGTAGTGAATTTTCGTGCTAATTCACGTTTTCATTCGCAACCGAAAAAGCAGAACCTATATACAGTTATAAAGAGTATTTTACTTAGGTCAGATAACTTTTCCTAGATAATAAAAAAGAAAAACGAATATCGATGAAAGGGATGCATTAAAAGCAGGGTAGAGATATCAAAGGCAAAAAGGATATAAAAAGCAAAAAGGAAGCGTGTACAAAGAACATTTATCTAGCGGAACAACTGGCGCATGTATCGTCGATGCATTGCGGCAACGTGTAGCGCAAGGTTAATCGATTAAAAGTAACGAGTTTACCATATCGAGATAACTCGATATGAATTAATTAACCGGATGCCGGTGGCACGATCGTAAATCAATTTAGGGGCTAACGAAGTAGGAGCATTCGTCGCGGTTGTCGTCACCAAGCCACTTGCAGCAAGGATCGAACGATCGAACGTTATTGGTGTTCGGTGAACGAGCGAGGAGTTCAGTGACCATAAGCGTTAACTAGTCGAATCGGTTAACCGACTTAACCAGTTGGTTGCAGATCGTGTAAAGAGGTTTAATTCTTTAATCATTTAACCGCGTGGTATTAGTAGTACATAGCGACGATCAAGCGGAGGGGGTGGATTTAAAATAGCATTAGATACATAGGCAGTGCCGTCAGTCGGACTCGAAGAACGAGTAGTCGTCGTCCAACCGTGTCAGCGATTGAGCGAATTGAAACGACAGTACGTGGCACGTGACATATCATACAGAATTACGGTAATTGTGCACCGCTTGCACGCTGATAACCGGCGATTATGACGTGATCTAGACATCGAATCGATTTATTCAACGTGCATTCAGACCCTCTGTCACGTTCTTATTTTCATTTTTCATTCATCGCTCCTTAAACGAAATGTCATATCGTGGAACCGCGTACCATCTCACCACTTATACAGTGGTTCCTTTCGATTCGGGAAACGAAAATCATTATCCTCTTTCTGCGAAGGGTTTCGTTCTTTTTCGACGATATCCGGCCACCGAACATGGGAACGTTCCTTCGTTTTTTTGGAATCTCGTCATCGGACGATAACAGAATCGATGAAGCTACAGGGTTGACGGAGAAACAGAAGAAATTAGTGCAGAACACGTGGGCCGTTATCAGAAAGGACGAGGTGGCTTCCGGGATTGCCGTGATGACCACGTAAGTGATATATATCTTTTAGTCAACTGTTGCGAAAAAGCGAAGAAGATACATTTCGGAAAATTACTGAAATCGATAAAAAGATAGCTGAATAAATAGCGTATTGACTATAGTTTATGGTTATCTGTAAGCCTGTTGCGTTCATATTTTTCTTCCTTTTGCTTTTTTTTTTCTTTTTTTAATTATCGATAATCTTCGTCAAGAGATAAACTATCAAAAATCTTCGCATTACGTCATTTCTTCCTTTTTCTCGTCTTAATTTCGATATAAAATATTTGTATAACTCTGTTCTTTGTTCGAGTTAAGCGATTTTAACTTTCAGCTTGTTTGATCTGGCTTATCTTAAGGAAACGCATTTATTTTAGTTTTATTTCATCTCTTTAATTCCTGTTTTTCTTATAAAACTTTTTGCAATTTGTAACACTTGTTTTAATAAATGCAAACAAAAACCGGCGTTAATAACAAGCTATTAGGATAATATGTTAATCCTCTGACATAAATAGCGATAAATTGTTTCTTCAAGCAGCAGATAAGTTCGACAGACATTTCTTTAAAATTACGAATGCAATAGGCGAGAAACGTAATAATTCACATCTGCCGCGTCTTATATAATATTCAATATGTTAGCAATCAATTTCATATCAAGAATGTCGTTGCACTTGTTTTTACCAATCTCCGGAACATAAAAAAGATATTAATAACTTTAGTTATACAGATTAATGTTAAATTAACGCAACAATTAAATTAATATCATTCGGTTGCTTACAAAATATCGATTTATCGCTTATTTTCGGGTTTATATTTTCGATTCTATTAGATTATTCTCCTTCTCGATTATTCCATATCGTAATGCTTCTTTTTAGCCATCAAGCGACATAAAGGTCGGGAAACCGATAAAAATGGATATGATAAATCTATCATATGTTTCGTATGTGATTTGCATATAGTGCTTATAAAATTTAACGTCGATTTGAACATCTTGACGATGACGAAACTCGACTTTTCGCTAATTCTTTTCAGATTCTTTAAAACATATCCAGAATATCAACGATACTTTAGCGCTTTCGCGGACGTTCCGTTCGACGAATTGCCGGCTAATAAACGGTTTCAAGCTCATTGTGTCAGCGTAATTACGGCCTTAAATAGTGTTATCGATTCCTTGCACGACCCAGGATTAATGGAGGCGAGCCTAATCAGCTTGGGCGAGAGGCATAAAAAACGTGGCCAAACGAAAGAAGAATTTGAGGTACGAGTACGAAAATAACAGTAAAAAATCCAACGCAGTTCTGCTCGTGTCGTTTAGGGGCGAAAAGAACTACTTATTGATTTTTATTACGATCGAAAACTTTCATTAAGATAGACGAAACATCCTTTCTTAACACGTTCACTGCCACGGTAATCGTCGGTGACTCACGTTAATAAATTTTTTACAATGATTAAAATAAGATAAATTTCACGGAAATTAAAAAATTTTCAATAACGTGCACTACTTAGATAAGATTGTAAGGGAACAGACGCGTAGATACAATATCGTATTTTACGAAAACTGAATGTTACAAAGTAGTATATTTTAAACTATTGCGAGATCACACAGCGAGATACTGTATAAAATTCGCCTGGCGGTCAACGTGCTAATGATGAACGTTTCTCCCGATAGAAAACTCCGCTATACAATTCTCAGAACTATAATTGTACGTGGCAAACGATAAACTGTTATTTATCGCTTATTAAAATTTTATTAGTAGAATAAATCTGATTTATAAAAATTTGTTGAAAAAAATCAACGAACGATAAAGACGATTTATCGTATGTTCGATTTCGATTTTTAGAATTTGAAAGGAGTAGTGTTGAAAGTGCTTTCTCAAGCGCTAGGGAAACAATACACACCGGAAGTGGCCGAGGCATGGAGCAAAACCTTGGACTGGGTATTTTCGAAGATATATCAGATTTACGCTTCTTGAAGGACGAAACGATTGAACGTGCTCGAAAAACATGAATCTCGTATATAATTGACCCTAAATAACGAATCTCCGTAATAGTTGTTAAGAATTAAATGTTGTAAATAAAATGCACTGTTTTACATGTTTGCACAGTTGCAATCACTAGAGATACGTTGGATGAAAATGGAAAAAGATGTTTCACAAATTATCCGCGAATATCGAACAGGAATATATACGTTTATATCTTCAACACTTAATAGATTTTCGCGCACACTAATGTTAACGTATCGTATAATGCATGTATATATGGACATGGTTTTATATTATTTTATTATTTTCGACTTCATGTAATGCATGTTGAACTATTGAATGTTTGAATTAAACTTGCACGTCAATTTATTAGACCAAAATGTATAAATCTTTTATTTTACTTTTTCTTCTTTCACATTTCTTTTGTCTTCGTTTTATTTTATCCGTTCACCCGATAGATATAATGCAATTCTACTTTTGTAAATTTAGGTATTATTTATGTTTTAAATTATAAAATTCTATTTGGCAGTAGGATAATCATAATTTTTAGACTTTTCATTTCTCGAAGATTATAATTTTTTAAACACGCAACGATTCCAGAGGAAATATACAAGACATTTCTTTTTTTCTGTATCTCACGTTATGTACGATGACTGTACCTTCCGTGTTATCAAGTAATTTTCGGGGATTTGCAAGTATGTTTAGTACAATCTGTTATAGCATTAAAGATCATGGAATTATCATCTTTCTCATTATCACGTCCAGAACATAACCATATTTCAATTTACGTCTTTTCTTCGGAGACAAGATTTATCGTTCGGTACCATCGGAGTAAGTCGTGTTTCTTCAATAAATATTTCAGAAAGAGAAATTCGATTAACTGGTGATTGAGCGTGGCCGATCATAGCGGAAGACAATTAAACTAAGTACGAATTGTGTCATAATACTTGTACGATGCCGATCTAACCAGGCGGGACGCGTATTTTTCGCGTGCAATCAAAAGCACTGAATTCCAGGATAAGTAGAGGGGTCAAGTGTCATCTAGAGTTCTATAGAAGACTATTCACATTTACATTACAAGCGAAGCGCACCGTTTGTAGAAGAGGAAGAAGAAGGTGGAACGCTGCACAAGTTTCACATCTGTCCGGCAGTGCAATTCAATATTAAACATTACAGAACGTAATGAAACGAAAATACTACTGAAAGTATACGAAACGCTATTGGAAGTATACGAAACGCTATTGGAAGTATACGAAGAGACGCACGATCACTCCAAGATGTTAATGTAAGAAATAATTACTCACCTGCTACAAAATATCGTAAATAAAACAATATACAACTTGTTAAGGGCTGCAGAGACTGGTCACAATTAAAACATTGGTGTAATTCTGGGTCACGTTAAACTTCTGATACTAGCTGCTACGGTCTATCCACTTTATAAACTTTCTCGATTACTCAAAATCAGATAAGAATATTTTTTCACACAAGAAGCAGCGACGATCTTCGCACAGTTGTATATACGCGATATCAATTGGTTTCCCTTTTCCAGCGTTTACATCATTGTCTATAATATATATGATAGATATAATCGACAATAAAATTATCAATTACTTTTTGCCTAGATAATATTGTTTATTATAGTAGTATGCGCTGTTTCACTGTATCGTTATACTCGGTAGTATTATCAGTAATATTTTATATACTACGTTAATTTTTATATTAATAATCTAACATTATCTATTAGATATAATTCTTGGATAGATGACATCGTCTTTGATGTTAGACGTTTTTATCTCGAATGAAATCGCCTTAAAAACTATCATTCCCTAGGGTAATTCATCGACATGGGTAGTAATTTAATGAGACTTTTTATAAAGCGAGAATATTCCTTTTTGTTATGTTCCATAGGTAGGATTAATTATCAAGCAGAAAAGCTGTAAATATCGATAAAAGTTTGAAGAAATTGAAATATTTAACTGCTTTTTAATGGCGATTGTCGCGTCATAAATCATAAGCCTACATAATTTTACAAAATTAATTAATTTTGAAATTATATTCTTATAATAATTAGACATATCCAGGTCAACCATATTAATTATTGTTATATATTCTTTTCCATTAGGTATATACAATATATCTTAAAAAGTTACGCCGAGATTTCTTGTTACTTGCTAACTTTATGCTTTTATAACTATAACTTCGTTCTTCCAAGGAAGACTTAAACGGAAAAATCAATATATACGTTTCAGCATAAAATTAGTGTACGTAATTCATTTGCTTGCAGATTTAAATAAAACCACTTCCTTATTCAGAAAGAATTACAGTTGAGTTTTCTGAACGTTCAATTTAATAATTGCTCAGATTGTGCTGCGGCCAAAAAAAGCATGATATTTATATTATTGGACAAGGCGTACTACTTTTACTCTATTATTAAATATAATAGTATTAAGCAATACATCAGCGTCCTCAAAGCAGGTATTCTATTTGTACGTAGCATCGAAATTAATTTGGTTTAAAAAAATGTTATTTTATTTTATCTTTTCCTGATAGCGAAGTATAAGCAAATACAAAAAATTACTGAAACTGTTAATTTAATTAATTGTAAGACCGTAATGAAATCAAAACACAATTCAGAGCATATAGAACATACATGTCGTTAACACTAGAATTTTGTTTTATTGATATTAATATTTGTTACATAATAGTATAGTTATATAATAATGTATTAAATTTGTTATGTAATAGGTATTAAAACGTTCACAATTATTAGGACTATCGCCAAATTATTATTATCGTTATATTTAGCACAATTTCATACAATACATTTATTTTATAAATTCCACGGGTACTTCGATAAATTTTAATATAATATTTTTTACATATAGTTTTAACAGTTCTTATACGTTTTCTATAAACGCTACAAACAGTCAATTATATTAAAAGAAATAGCTCCAAAGCTATTAGCTCTTAAGCTATTTTCTAAAATATTTCGGTATTCGCATAGAATAGCATTTTTCTTTGATGTGATTCCCTATTGGAAATTCGTACGTGCGAAACTGAAAGTTGGTTCCTGCTATTTTTACCTTTAACGATCATTATCAGTGGGCTAGTCCACTTAAAGCAACATGTACTTCAGCCCAAAGAACAGTCGTTTTCGAGTTACCGTTACGCAAGCAACTCTTCCAGTCATCAGTGGAAATAAACGACTACATATTATCAATATCTTCATCTATCTGCATAATCAAAGGCAAAAAAAAAGACGAAGTAGTACGTTACTTGATTTTTATTAGCAGCAATTTATTGCTAACAATATTCCAGTCCATATACATGTGACACGTGTAGTGTATAGTATAGAATTTTGAAGGTACAATAAATACTCGCTATAATAAATCGATTATACTATAATAATGAAGTTATAATACAATAAATTTCGACTACAGTGTGTTGATAGAAAGATCGTAAACAGACTAAGTTGATAACAAAGAAAGTACGAGGCACCTTTTAAAATGGGTTCTATGCTAACCTATTTTCTCGGCAATCCAGACGATGATGTTGTAGATCCGAAACTTGGTTTGACCAATAAAGAAAAGAGGATTGTAAGAGAAACATGGGCTGTATTGCGTGCTAATTCGGTAAAAGTTGGCGTAGATATTATGATAAGGTAAAACAATATATATATATACGTATTGCATCATTTTTTTTTTTTTTTTTGGCGCTAATTATGTAATGTCGTAACGTTTTGCAATACTTGTCAGAGTCGAAATTCAATCACTATGTTAACGATGAGATAAAATATTGATCGTTGAAATATTAATACTATCATATAAGAGATAATGTGATACAATTTTGATATGGAAATTCTTGTGCGATGAAGCGTGTGTCACGTATAGGTATACGGGATTATTTTGTTTCAGTTACTTTAAAAGATTTCCTCAGCATCATAGAGCTTTCCCTCCGTTTAAGGATATTCCGGCAGATGATTTACTAGATAATAAAAAGTTTCATGCTCATTGTCAGGGCATTATGAGTACATTGAACGATGCGATCGATGCTTTGGATGATATTGACTTAGTGGACGCGATATTGCATACCACTGGCAAGAGACATGGACGACGTGGTCAGGGCAGACAAGAGTTTATTGTAAGTCTGTCTTATTTTTAACTACTATATGTCCGATTAAGCTTTTTATTCTTAATCTTGTTAACGTTACTTGTGTAACTTATGAATCTCCTCATTAATAATTTATTTATTAATGTGATTGGTGAAATAGTTATCGTATTATTAAATTATTATTAAATTATTATTAAATAACATAGAGAATGACGCGTGACAATAACGTAGAATAAATTAAACTTTGAGGATAATGAAATAATTAAAATTGTACAAACAATTATTATCTTTGTGTAGAGTGTCCGTGTACTAAGATCAAAAACACAAATTTTTTTTTAATTTACCTCTTGAACTTTTTAATAAACGCATGATATAGTGCAATGTACTATAAATATTCTTCTTGAGCTATACGTGTATCTTAATTTTAGTTCCAAATATATTGCCGTTCAATATTGAGAAAATATTTATCTTACAATGTTATCGTTATGTATCAGATATAAAGACTCGATTAGATTAATTGCGCAAATTGATAGTCGTCGATGTTCCTTCGGTAGAGACAAAACCTTAAAGTCATCGTTTATCTCTGAATATTGTGTGACATCATTATCGCTATATTTATACGTAACAGCAAAGATATGGATGATGAATAGAAGATGATAGAATCAATCACAATTTGATTTATTCGTCGACATCAGCATTTTTTGTTAAAATTTTAATTTTGAGTTTGATTGACTTTTATCTTTGTCACGTAGGATGGAATATGGAATATGGAATAATTACTCTTCTTTTTATATAATAATTCTTCTTTCTTCTAAGTATATTCCTCATTTTGCTTTTTTTTTTTAAGTATGCAAGCCATTAACTATTAAAAACAAATTAGTCTATCGCTACATCGAAAAATTATAGAATATTATTACTATTAACTGTAAGAAATGATAGGAAAATCTCGGACCCTACAATCCGCGCTATCGTTCGCTAAGACTGCTACTTTAAATGCATTGAAACTGAAACGACGCTGACGAAACATTTTTCTACAAGGTCAAAACTTGCAACCGGAAGTCTTGGATGGTTTTAACATGCATCAACGATAGCTTGCAGACTTCCGGATATTAAGATGTGACGAGCAAGGTTGTTCGCGTTGATAATGATAGCTTCAAGCCAAGACTGACGTTGTATCGACAACCGAAGTAAGATAGAACGTTAAGGGTTTTCAAATAGAAATAATTCAATATCGACTATTTCTTCGATCGTTTAATATTAATAATATAATATCATACATTAATACATCAATAAATTTTGTTATCGATAATTTTCTAATTATTAGGTACCATATCAATTATTTGATTAGATATCGAAGATTTTTAGATCGTACAAATCGATAATTGTTGTCAACGAATTTAATACTGTAGAGTATAAAAGGTGATAGGTTATTGGTAATGCATTTAAGACGAAAGATATTGTCAATACTCTCGTCAAGGTTGACATAGCGAGGTTAACGTGTTTCAATCTTCAAGTATTATTATCTTCAAGTATTACAGAGTATTGCAATGATTCTTGAATTGCGTCAGTAAATATTGCAGTTTTTAGATAATAAGATTTGGTGATTTGAATCTTTATAATCGATGTGATATAACAAGCTTAGGGTTTAAAGTTTGATCTTTTCTTCAAACTGATTAACGATAAGAGCTATTTTCGACCTAATTGTATCTTTTTGTCGTTATCAAATTTAAGGTTAAGAAAAAAAATGAAATGATTGTTATGTATATGCGTCAATATTTTGATAGAGATTCTACTAAAACATTGAACTTAAAAGTATCTCGAATAGCAAAATTATTAGAAATTAAATTTATTATACCTTAAAAAATCAAAAATTGAAATGACATCGTGATTCAGCCACAAAAATTTGAAAAATATAGGACATCGCCTTTACATTATCTTACAAATGAAATGTTTCGTACATGTTCTATATTATTATTATTTATTACTCGGTCGTTACATACTATCATTATGTTACATTTCAGGATTTGAAAGGAGTGGTGATGGACGCGTTGAGGGGCACGTTTGGTTCGAAATTTACCACCGAAGTGGAAGTCGCTTGGGACAAAGCGATCGATGCCTTATTTTCAAAAATATTCGAGGGTGAAGATATGATATAGCAAGTGTATAACCACTAAACGATTTTTTTAATCAGCATCCGTATCACTATCGCTATCTGGATGTATATAATCAGTAGCTACATTGCTTGTTTCAGTAGTGTATTTCTTCTTTCTTCTTTCCCTTTGTACTTTATATTCTTCGTCTTCACTTTCCTGCTGCTTTAATTTTCTGTAAATCAAGCACGGGTATATAAAGGGTGTATAAAAAAGAGCCGGGAAAAGCTTTAGGAGCATATAATACTCGTGAAAACAAGGAAAAACGTCTTAATAAACTTGGGTTGAAAAACCATTCATTTCATAGTTATCGCTTAATGTGTAAAAGTATAGTATATAAGTAAAAGATTAGAAAAATGGCAGGATTGTCGTGTACGCAATTGTATGAAAAAATGTGCCTAAGTGTGTGTTGATTGAACGTAATGTCGAAAGTAATGTCTAATTGAGAAAAATATCTCGTAGCATTGAAATTAATAGTTATTACCCATATTTATTAAGACCTTTTTTGCTTGTTTCCATGAGTATTACACTATGTCAAAGTATTTTCCCCATTTTTTTGTACATCCTGCATATATACATATTTGTGTAAAACGAAACACGAAACAAATAGACAATTTTTGTTATTGGTATCTATAACACGGCAAAAATATGCGGAAAATGATAATCGTACTTGTACTTGGTTTTGCGAAAGTGTTGCCTGATCTTTTGCAATACTGTGTAACATATCAGTGTTAGTAGGGTTCCTAGTAGTCCTAATAAGGTTGCCATGAGAATAACATCAATTTGCAGCCAAGGATCTTCTTCTTCATGGCGTTTGAATGATTCAAGCGTTACTGGATAACTGTGAAATTTGAAACGATAAATGCAAATGTACCGACAATTAAGGCTGTTCGTGGCTATGATGCTTTTATTTTCAAAGAAACATTACATTTTATTAAATAGATATAGAGGTGATGGCAATTCATATTTTTGGAGGATGATACACTAAAAGTTCAAGATTGTAAAAGAATGTATAATTGATACTCTCAAGTTGATTGTAAAATACGAAAATAATTTCGGAATAGTATCTACTTGAAATAAAGTATAAAACTACATTATGATAGTATTATAGAGAGGATTTTTCTTCGGTCTTATTAAATGGAATTTTTATTTAGATGAAGAAAAAGAACTTTGTATTTATACTCTGTGACACTTAAAGCGTGTTTTATTCTATCGAAAGAAAAATTTGTTAAACCGATATGTTGTACTCAAACCGTACCGTTGTTTAAACGGTAATCGAAAAATTTCATCAAGATTACTTACGGCAATTCCGTTTCTTCTTTGACGAGTTCATCGAACGTGTTTACCAATGCCCTGTCGAGATCTTTCCCTATTTGCACGAACGAGGATTTTCCTAACCAATCTGCCAGATCATTTCGATTTATTTGACGAAGTCTGTGGGTTAAAATCTCGTGAGTGTTTCCTTTGCCTTCAGCTGGAGAACTATTCCAATGCAAAAGATGGCGAATGCAAGGTATATCGTCGTCCACGTTACGTTCTTCCTCACAAGATTATCAATAGTATTATTAGCCATTAAAAACGAGTTATTATTTTTTATGGAAGAAGTATAATACATATAATATTATTATATTTAGTATAATTATAATACTAATATCATAATATATAGTAACATAGTAAATATAATAATTAATTACTATTAGTATTATAATATAATATTAAATATACACAATATGCTGTTTTGAAGTAATCGTTATTGAAGTACTTTCAACTGACTCGAAATATAATTTAGAATTATCTCGGACTAAAACAAGCAGATAATTTATCGTAAATACGAACGTAGTCATAACTAGATTGCAGATGTTTACGCAAATTTACATCTTCATAAACACGACTAAAGAACTGAAACACAAGCCAGAAGTTTGTATCACTCGTTGAATATTATAGAGAACTAGACTATACTATATCTACTTTGGATATTTTAAATACAGGGTGTCTCATAGTATCGGGAACTTACTTCGGCGATAGATTCTGCACGTGAACAATAAAAAGAAGTTCGTATACCCTATTTGACCTACTTTTCGAGTTACGAGCTTTGACGAACTATATCTGCATATCTTCACAAAAGATGTTGAAAATACCCTTCTCGCATTCGAACACAAGCCCAGCGACATTTTACCCATTGACCGTCTTACCCTTCCTATTTCTCCAGGTATCGTTTTAATTTTCTGGAAGCCTTGCTCGATTCTCTCGCGAAGTATTTCGACGCTGTCAACGGGCAAATTATTGCAACATAAAATTTGCTATAGTTTACAAACGCAGTCAAATAAGGCATGCGTTTATACGAACTCTTTTTATCGTTTTTACGTGTCCGATGCTACACGGGAGTATTCTCATAATTTTTGAGTATTATGTACATTCTACGTGGTTTCATATACGTACAAAATAAATAAATATTCACTTCACGATCTAGTTATAACAATCTCCCGACTTGAATCCCACCCGGAAGCAATAGGAAGAATTGAAGAAGTTAATAAGTAAATTGAAATTATAGTTTATGTTTCTTGACGTGTCTATCAATCTCTTCATTATACCACTCGAGATGAATATACCTCAATTTTCCACTAATTTTACAATTACAATATATTTCTTCCAATAAAAAGAGCTGATATGGTCGCTATTGTATTCTATTCGATCATTGTCCGATTTACCAGCAGCTGCGAGATTGTTCGGTAGATCGTAAGTAATATAATGAAGCGCAGCTATCAAGCGTCGACACTCGAAAGGATTAAGGCGTGCGGCTAAATATTCCAGCTCGTTTAAATTGACGTCGATCGTGCCGAGGACATCGTATCGCAGCAGAATAACGATGAGGCTTAACCTTGTGGGCCATTCGTGCGTCCTTGATAATTCTTTCATTGTGAGGTTCACGAAACGAAACGTCTCGAAACGGCGACATAAAATGATCGTTCTTTGCTTTGTTTCGCGAGAAATTAACTTTGGCGAATTTCACGGCTGACGGATTTCTATGACTTTCAAATAACACGGGATCAACTCTGACGAATTTCGGATGGTTCGCTCATCATTCGGTAATTTGCGGTTGTTGGAGTTATACATGGTCGAATGGCAAAATATATTTTACGAAATAGACACACAATGACTCATCGAAGTACCTGGATATTTAAAGAAACTTTTCATGGACATATTATACGAGTTGTACAAAAAAATTGTGAAATTTGGAATGTACCTGAAAATGTATAGATATAGAAGTTACAAAATATTTGTTGCAAGTATACATTTCGCAAAGACCGTAGAAGTATTTAAAAGATCAATTATTAATTATAATAGTAAACTACAGTATTCAATGAGACCATCTTTAGCATTAATCGTATATTTAAAACCACTATTCTTGTTGTATGCTAAATTACTAAGTGTATGTTTGCAATAAATATCTTGTCGTCTCTACATATATTTTCTAACCAGCTCATATGACCGGTCTTTGTCCTGAACCTTAATATAATCGTTTTTAATAATATGGACGACGATTTTGTGAGTTTCTATTGGCTCGGTAAACATTTCATAGTCCGTGAAACAATATCGTCGCGAAGCGGTTTCTGACATGCCATACGCTAAAAAGAAAAAGACGCTGCTTGGAGAGGGGGGATCGCATGACTTCGTTATATGTATAGTGGCAACGATTCTAAACAAAATACAATTCCAACGTAGAAGGTCACCGTTGGTTGCGTTGCGAATGGCAGTAAATTGTCTCTGGTTTATAAATATTTTCGACTCCTGTTTCCTTTTGTCATAGGGTAACGTTTCACGAACCTAAATCTTACACGAGAAATGCTTTTTAAGAATGGTGAAAATCGCATGAAAATCCGTCCACTGGTTCTCGAGGTCGTACTATGTGTTTAAATTAGTTTCAAATTTGACCAATATTATAATTACGATTAAAATTTCAACAAATTGCGTGTTGATGAAATCTTACCATAAGCTTGTTATGGTAAGCGTTCGTGAGCCAGTGTACGATCGTTGCAAAGAGAAATTACACGCGCGAACGTTTAATGAGAGCTTTATACAACCCATGCAGCAGTCTTTTCATGTTTATCTTAAATGATACATTTAATTACATGTTTCATCTCTTCGGTCTTTTGGTGCTTTTCTTCCGTTTCTTCTTGTAACATCTGTAACAAGCCATCGGCTCTGGTTCTTCCGGTTCCTGTGGTACAGATGGAGGTGGCACGGAGTTTTGCGTGGCTGTGTGCACCAATTCGTACGACGGAGGTCGTTTCCTTTTTATTCGTGGCTTTCGAATGAAGTAACTTCTAGACACATCCTCTATGTCATCTCCGATTGCGATAAATTTACTGATCACAAAGCAATTATTATTCGATAAGTTCACTATGTAGAATATCTTCGAATAAGTGGTACAACTAGAGAAAGAGTAAATCTATATGAAAAAATAAATTCAAAATGTAGAGTAACAATTGTAGCTGCATAGGACATTTCATTTTCGAATAAATTCACATTACGCGTTCATCGAGCATGCACGTCTTTGACAATAATTTGTTTGAATTATTAGAAAATATGCTACTACTATTATTATGTTACTACTTCGTAGTAGCCGCTATTATTATTAGTGATACGCGTTTCATCAGTCGCCAGCCAAAAGTTGCAGCTGCAGCAATTAAATTTTGTTTACTGTCTCGTCTCGTTGGTCAGACTATATGCTGTTACTTTTTAAATGAAAAAAATTTATTTCTTCAACAAGATAAATGATCATCGCTACACTTTGATAAAAGCATTGAATAAGTTTAAAATAGTTGGAATAATTTGTTATTAAATTATTAAATATTTACTCGCGTTGAATCGTCTATAATGGTCAAATAGCTCAGTTATCATAATTTTCGGCCGTAACTCTAATAGAATTTTCCTTGTGGTGACGCGTTAACTGTATGAATCAGAATAAGTTAACAAGAAAATACGTTCACAAAAATATCGTAAGCATGGTACAATAATGCTGGCAGAACAAAGGCGATCATTTCGAGCAATGTTTCCATTGACAAAGGGAAACGATTCTTTGTCAAAGAATACTTCTATTTCGTTGCTCATTCTTTGCTATCTAATGCGATAAGTTCAAATACCAATGTTGATATGTAAGCACGAGTAATATCGTACGTAGTACAGAGTGAAATCGTATTTGACGAATCTTCAGCATCGATCTATTGAAAAGTTAAGCTTGGTATAAGAAAATGATGCTCTACATTTTTCATTTACCTTTTCATGTTCAGTGGATCGCGAAAGTATTTGAATATTTGTCATAGAAAACTCTGACGTGTATGTGTATTGTATGGATTACATAAAATATTGTGAAATATTAGCATTTTAATACTACACGATTCTCATTATTGTACTGATAAAATTTAAGATCTAAATATGTACGTATACAGAAGTTACAAGTTATTTATTGCAAACGTACAAATATATTAGCATATGGCAATAGTATAGCAATAGCATAGCGTTAACAATCAGGTCTCGGATGTATAATTAGTGTTAAAGATAATGCCATTAAATATTAAGGCTTATTAACGTATAATCGATTGTTTAAATACTTTTGTAATCTTCGTGAAATATATTTGCACTAAATATCTTGCAGCTTCTACGCTACATTTTTAGAACTGTTCCAATCTTTACTACATAATCATGATGATTATAGGTTTTATCAGAGTAATAATTTTCAAAATATCTCGTATAACGCATAATAATAGATTTATAAAAGATTTTTACGAATGTTCTAATAGTTTCTTAGTATTTAGTATTACTTAGTATTGCCCGGAGCGTATCGGTTTGAAGAACAAATTAGAATAATTATAATCACCCTTTTTTCTTCTTCCCTCGTATTCTATCGAATAGTTTCATCAGTCTGTTCCTTATAAGTAAAGTACATAAACAAGATACGACTATGATTGAAGCGAGAACGATGCCTGCGCTGTGCAACGACAGTTTGATAGTAGTACGTCCTGCGAACGATCGTAATACATTAAGATTAAAGAGGAGTTATTACAGCCAAAATGTGACATTTATTACCACTGATCTTCTGAATCATCTGCTCCGAGAGTTGAGGTTCTGTATTACTATCTTTCTCTTTCAGCGTGGCTGTTGTCGCGACTCCTTCGTATTCGCTGAAGAATGTTACAGAATGAAAAAGACAGCGTGATACAATTAAACGAACGTCTGTATATCGTAGTATCGCAAAGGATATTCTAAGAATGCGCGTAGTATTGTTTCTTGTAGTTTTATCGCCTGCGTCACGAGTATATTTAGAAAAAATTTCGAAATAATTTATCTGTAACGTGATAGGGATGGAGGACAAAATAAAAGATTTTTCGCGAAGAAAATATTATGGTATCGTTAGAATCGTTTAATTATCCATATATAATAATTATTGTCATATGACACGATGATAGACGATACGATGAAGAATGAAAAATTTAAAAAGACACATTATATTCTCAGTTTTAGCATTCTTCCCCATTATGTATGTGCCAGCGATTATGAAAATGGACTAAGTTATATGTTCGAGATGTATCGTTTCGAGATATTTAAAGCTTTGCGTTTGACATATGAGTTGAATTCTATTTAACGACGCAACAGCCAACTCAATGCAGTGGCTCGATATCTACTACTTTGCTAGGATGTTTTCAAATTATTGTAATGTAGGTAGACTCATCGCAAAAATAAACGATAAGATCACTTTTCTTAGATTCTTGAACGTAGGCTATTTCTATAATCATCGGCACCGTATATGTGTGCGAATTTATATGGATATCGATTAGCATTCAGCAAAAAAAAAAAAATGATCAAGAAGATACAAATTTTTAAACGAGTATTTTTAAAGAAATTCCTTTTACGATTGAATTCTTCGTTTAAAAACAAAATCCAAGTACTCTTTCCTATATCTTCTAGTTTCCAAAATATTTCAAAAAATATGTTTTCAAATGCTAACTTTGAGAACTGTTTTCAACTCTTTCAAATAAACAACGAATTGTTCTTTTACTGCGTAAAACTTTCATTGCTGAAGTCTTATTAGCGTTGATCGTACACAGTTTGGGAAATTATTTGAAAATCTATAATGATATCAGCAAACTTTTGTTGTGAACTCGTTTCTACTATTTACCAATTATCGGCGTTATTCGGCAAAAATTCAATTATCTGATAAAATTATATTTCATCGTTATAATCATTTATAAGATTATCGCTGTTACATTTTATCATCTATTCTTATTGATCATTTTCACGAATTAACGTTAAATATTAAGAGTTATTCAATATGAAGATTTCGAAATCACCGTTTGAGGAATTATAATGCATATCTTCTTAAAATCTATGCCTGAGTTATATCTAAAGCTTATTTTGTTTCTTAAACGACGATAACTCACTCCAAATCGTCCGCTTGAGCTTCGCGAATTACTTTCGGTGACTTGGAAGTTTTCATGCTGAGTTCTGCGAGACACGCGATTAAATCCCTCCTTCCGATGCGTTCAAGAAGACTGTTCAAGATCGGATACGTGTTCCTCGTAACCGTTCTTAACTGACAAACCCATTTCACTAGTCTTCGAAAGCAATTTTGTTCTCGAGCTAACTTTTGTATTTGTGCTTCAGATAGTTGAGCTGTTACAATATTTTATAACATCATCCGATACCTTTCCACGCTATATTTTTAATCGTTTGAAAACCTTATGAATATTAGAAAAGATTTTTTTACAGCAAGTAATACGGACAAATTTAGTAATTAGGCAATCTTGATATTTGCTTATGATATTTACCAAAACCATATCGCTTTCACTAGCTAATATATTTTCCATGTTATTGTGTATATGTGTAAATATTTCTTGGAAATGTTTTAGCAAATTAATAGAAAAAAAATCGAGTATGGAACATTTATACGTAATATACTCATAGGCATATGAAATTTCTGTACATTAGAAGCGATTTATTAGTTGCAATCATACAACAAAAATATTTTATACGTATGAGATATATGTTGGGATTGTAATTAATTACATTTAAAAATAGGAGTTACTATTATAATATTTCTACTCCTTGGAAAAATGTATAAAAAGGTATACAGGGTATAGCGTTAATTCGCGAATGTAATATTTACTTACTATTAGAATCTAAGGACACAAGTTTCACGCACTCTTCGGGCTTCAAATTTGACGCTAACAGCTGCAATTCTGGCACATCAACCTCGGTAATGATCTTTGCGAAGTAAAAAACAATACATTGTAGTTTTTGACGATCTCAACTGTGTTTGTACATCGTCCTGTATCATAATTGAAGAGTGGGAGTAAAAAAGGGTGTAAGTGCCATTTGAAAAAAAATTTTTTCTCTCCTTAAAAAGCTCAGTAAATATGAAGAGAAACGTTATCGCCATAATTCGTTTTTAGCATTTCGTATACGTTGCACGGTCGGTTTCTTAAATTAGATTGTAAGATGCCATGTGCCAACGAGCTGCTTCCTCGTGCTTGAACGTATAAGCATTGCGTCTTTGATTCCGAAAAGACGTTATTATTATTTTCATCACTCGTCGCGGGTACTGGCGATCGTAGCCTTTTTAAGGGAGCTACACGATGGACTTACATTCCTTCTTAAAAAATAAACTTCCTTTTGTTGTTAATTAACAGATGTTTGAAATATTAAAATAGAAATATCGTAAAGTTATACAAAATAGAATAGTATATGTGATAAATAAGTTCTGCTATATTTTGTTAACAAGTAACATTTTGGCAAGCAAGACGTTGTTTTCCACAAAATTTTTGTCGTGGGACTTACGGCCTTATTGACTTTCACTCTTCGATCATTGTTTAAGACAAAATTGTCATATTGATTCGTTTAAGAATAATTATAACAGACAACGAACGATTTGCAGCATTTTAATTCTTTGATGAATATTTGGGAAAATGTTCTTCTTGGATTAACGGCGATAATGAGATCGAAAGACGATCAGATTGTATAATTCGATCGATCGATTTAATTATGCTTTACGTAACAATTATTTTCACATCAACAAAACGAAGATATGAATTTATAAAATTACAAAGTTATTTTTTCATTTCAATTAGAATTTTTGTTTGAGTTATAACATGTCTTATTTGAACAATTTACATGAAATGTAACATACCTGAAGAAAGGAACAAGTAAGGTTGAGCAGAAGAAGAAACAGTGCATCTTTCAATACGTTTCTTAAATTCATCGAGAGTTTCGACGAATTAACACGGTTTCGTTACATGCTTTACGTTAATTCATTACAGTCTCCGGAAAAGTAATATCGATTGTATGATTTTTATGTTCAAGTCAAATCTTCTCAATATTCTGTAATAAGTAGAATTGATTGGTTAAGATAGCAGAAGGTGTGAGAAATAGCATTATCAAAGAACGAGGCAACACTGATGTAATAAAAGGGATGGAACCTTAGAAATGATATTTCTTTTAACAGACTATTCAACATAACTGACAATTCTATTTAGTAAAAGAGTGGTGCAGAATTGTCCTTAGTTTATTAACTATACAAGAACAGCGACACAGAACAAACAGAATACTCTGAAATATTTTTTACATCCAACTTCATGTTTCAAGTTAATGTGTCTCACAAACGCTCATACGTGTGCCATGAATATAGTGTTTAACGTTGCACGATTAAATAATTTGTCAAAGAGATCATCTTTCGAATTGATCCATTAAAACATTTGGAGCTGAAGAAAGATGCCATAGTCGCTTCGTAATCGATAGCATTGAAACGACTGTCGATTATGGATCTGTCGAAAAAAAAAGAAAAAAATATTTTCATTTGCTGACAGCAAAATGTAATTCACCGATTCATAGTGGATTTCACCTATGTTCATTTTACAATGAAACTTGTATGCTCGATTTACATTTTGATTGTGGTTTTAGCGGAGAATAAGGTGAGCATCTACGTAGAAGGAATTTGAAGGGTTTTGGAAGATTTAGTACAAATCAATATCTTATCTTATCATACAATGGAACGCGTTGACGATACACTGATAAAACAGTGTGAAGATAATCAAATGATTTTTCAACTGCACGATATCATGTTCGTGTCCTTTAAGAAATTTGCTTTTCTTAGAAGTCCAATATGTAATCTTCCCGATATTAGTTCTCTATTCTTATAAAAGCGTGCAAATCTTTTGGAAAAGAGAACAAATATATTAGCAAAATATTAATTCGAAATATTCGATAGTTTCCTTAGAAAGACTACTATAAAAATTACTTGCTTTTGAAATGCTTTTGTAATAAATATCCTTTAAAACGAGAAGGTGTAAGATAGATAATATTGTTTTACAAGGACAAATTTTTGGTTCGATGTATCGCCAATATAAAAGAAAACGAGCTCGTCTACCTGTCACAGAAATTAAATCCCTTAGAATGTTTGCAACTTATACAAGCTATATACGAAATAACTCCAGTAAGAGCGGAACGTAACGTGAGAAAACACGAGATTCAACGTGAAGACTTAAGTCGTATGCCAATTACGTCGAAGGAATGTCTTCTTGACCTTGAACAATGGGACAATGTTTTTCCAAGTAAAACATAATAAATGGAATTAACTTAAATAATTAACCGATAAAGAATCTGTTATTAAACCGCTATTTTTATTGTATATTATTTGTTATGTGCATATCGTATGAAACTGTTTTATTCAATATATTTTTTATATTAAAGAAGCGCGGATATGATCCTCTCAGTTTCTATACAATATAAATCATATTTCTTTAAGTTTGATTACATTCGTGAAAAATATAATTAATCATCCTTCATAGTATAATAACGAAGATTTTAGATATTTAAATTTGAATAATGAATGATGAAACGATAAATAATTTAAATTACGATATACGCATAATGTTAATACTTTGCTTAAATTTTAAAGAATTCTTAAAAATAAAGTTTAAAAGGAAACGACATAGACAATGAAATTTTTCGTAGCAAATATGATACCTAATGGACGGGCGGCAATGGAAATGACGCTAAGATGGTTAGGACGACCCGATCTGGCAAAGTATGTGAGAGAAAATCCCAGATTGACTAAATCCCTGAACACAGGGGATTACGATACAGCAGATACGTTAGGATTTCTAGGACACAGATTGTCGCGAAGGCATACTTCGGAAATGGACAAAAATTTACGCGATCATGCAAAGAGGAAGAAAAAGAAAAAGAAAAAGAGAAAGAAAAAGAAAAAACGCGTGCGTCATGCACATAAAGAATGCGATCGAAATACACAAAATAAAAGAGTTCAAAAGGGAATGGTAGCAGCAGCACATACTGCGCTGTAAGAATTTTCAATTTAATTGTCTTTCTTTAGAATGATTAACCATATAATAAAATAATTGCCAACTATAATTCAGGAAACTACCTTACTTACTCAAGCCAACAAAATTAATACAATCATTGGCAACAATTTTCTGTCGAGAACTTTTAATTAGTTTCTACTTTCAATCTATTATTTTGCAGTTAAATATATTTCGAACGTAATAAATGTTGTTCAAGCTTGTAATTTTCATTCCTTTTAGCGAGGAGAACCATAAATTAAAAAAGAAAGAAAATCATCGCTCAAAGAAGACTAATTCCATCGCGCACACATCGGTCTGGTGTTTACTTTTGTTCATTCTATTCTTTATTATCATTTGCCTTGTCGCTGTCTACATCTATTACAAGCGAAATGTTCCGAAGGCACGCGGTACGCGATTCAAGTAATTATCGTAGAGAAACCTAAGCGTAATCTGATCGTACATTTTTGTCAACGTACATATTTTCCTTTATTATCAGGTTGGTCATTTCCTGATCTAACTGCAACTGCAGCAATTTACTTTGTATGTTCTTTTAATTTCGATGTACAAAACTTGTTAATCATTCTTGTATCGATACAATAATCAATTGAAACGAATTAATTTTAGAAAAAGCATACCTATATCTATACCAATCTCATTAAAACATAGAGATAGTTCTACAAAATAAATAATTCTACATAATGCCAGAAATTGATTTAATGTGTGATATTCGGTTAATTTCAGTATGGTATTTTATAAATTCCTTTTATTTGTATATCCGGAATTCAGGTACATCTGGGACGAAAATAAAAAGGATAAGGATACTTTCACTGATTGCTTGGAATGGAACGACGAAGACGTATGTGCTTGTTCGGATATTGAGGAAGCTTGCACAGGAAAATGTGAAATATATGATCGAAATTATCAAACACATTACGTAGCGGATCATCGAATTTGTACCGACGATTCTATCAAAAGTGTGAGTTGTGTGCATGCACCGAAGAAGGAAGAAAAGAAAAGACAACGGTTCAGCTTCTTTCAGAGAAGCTGTCAAAAAAAGGAAAAGGATCAGGAAAATCGGGATAGGAAGTGCGTAAAAAGGAGGAATCCTGGTACGATAGAATTTGAATATAAGCAGGATGCATCACGATCGTTTATCCTAATAATCTTACTTAAAATAACGTGATGCATCTTGTTATAGAGTTATTAGTAACAATTCCTTTCATTCTGAATCAAGGAAAATTTTGGAGAACGTAGCCGAGAAAAAATGTGAAAAAATACCGCAAATTGTTCAAAAGGATCAATGTAAATGCTGTAGATGTACCTTGAATTCTAAAGGTAAATAGAATACGATTTTTATATTTAAACTTGTATTATGTATATTGCTATATTCAAGTTACGTGTGTACAGACAGAATATTACGTGAGAAGAGAGAAATACGCAAGTGGAAAGCAAGGAGAAAGAAGGAAGAAAAGAGAAGGAAGAAAGAAGAATCAAAGAGAGCAAAACAACTCGCAAATGTATGTTTCAAAGAGACATGTAAATAAATTACTATTGCATTTGTTATTTGAGTGCTTTAAATATTACTTAAGAACAAATATTTAAAATAGTCGAGGGGAAAAAAGAAAGAAATAAGAAAATTTATTAGAGGAACGTCATAGAAATATTAAATTTCGATTAAATACTCTATAAAAATTAATAAAAGTAAAAATTTAATATTACTTTAGTATTGCGCTAATATATTTTATTCCGATATTAATACTATTATATAATGTGTATTATTGCAGAAGTTAAACTATGTATAAATAATAGTCTATTAATCGTTAATCAGTTTCTGAAATTCTTTTTTGTTTTTAATTGTCTTATGTTCAACAAATGTAATATATACATATATTTTTGTATATATAATCATTTTAGATTTTAATTGCTATGAAAGAAATACTGAAATCCCGCGTTTATATCGAGTATCGTATGATACCTTTTGAAGTCGAGAATATCGATCTTTCGATTATCGAAGGCGAATTCGCGCGCATTTCTACACATCACTTCTGTAGTTCGTCTTTTTAGTAGTGAGTTCGTTACGTTATAAAATACCGTTCTGTGTAAAAAAGATTGTGATATTGCTGGTTACTATCGTCTTTACCAAAAATACTGTAGCATATAGCATCTATATAGGTAAGAGATAAAATTAAATTTTCTTAAAGAACGATAAGAGATAATATATTTAGTACTGTAAAACTGTAAATCAAACTTTACTTTTCATGCGATGTGGAGCATTTGTAAATGCACATTTAATATTTTAATTAATTATTCATAACATTTTGAAGAGAAATAGGCACTAATTAGATAATTTCATTATTAAGTCATTTCAAATAATTTAGACATGATATATTCAGAAAAATTGATTTCGAATTTTTTTAAATAAATTTCATTACAAATTACGGTTGGTGAGCAAATACATTATGAAAAATAAATGTATTTTGCAAGAAATGCATTCGTTATTAGTTTACATACACATGTTTCTCATTTCCTTTATTTTATTTTCAATATTAGGCAATATCATGGTTTGTACATTATATTTTTTGTATAGTAGCAAATTTAATTTTTAGACATGTATTTAGAGCTCTTTGTTTTATACACTTGTTTAGAAAAATTTCTGGTTATAAAAATTCGGTCATAAAATATATCATTTATAATCTTTTAACTATGCGATAATAAAGTTAGATATATTTTAATATTGACATCGAAACTATTTACAAAGAAATAAATGCTTATTAACATTAAGCTCTATACTGCATATATCAATATATGAGTAGAATATATCTGTTATTAGAATTGAAAATAATACTGCACAATGTAGGAACTGTATTGAACAATGTACTGTACTATATTGTACTGTACTGAAGGAAAATTGTATATCTTAGAAACTAAACAAAAACAAGAATAATACATATGAATTGCATATTAGTAACTAATATTTGGTAACATTAAATGCCTTTCAAAAAACTGATTATTTTATGTTAATGGATAAGTTTATAAGAATAGATAAAAATTACTCACTGATCTCTATTTCTACAAGTTATGTATGTTGCATTGTGAAACGTAATTAGAAATAAAAATATTTTTCAATTTCTCTCGCAAGTATACATACTTATTTAAAAATTGCAGTGTGATTGTTATTATTATTATCTTTCTTAAATCAAATATCATGAAATTAAATGTTAGTTCGTTCAAATTACATTAACTATTTTCTTATATTTGAACTTTCGTGTTTAAATTCAAATCAATTTGATTGATTAAAAATAGTTATAAAATTATTTATTCAAATAAACTTATTTTTTAATTAGCAAAAATTATTGTTTATTAATTACGGAATTAATTCTGTAAAATTGCATGAAAATGTAATTTTGTGAATTATTGCAATTATATAAAAATGCAATTTAATTAATTATTTACTCAGTCTAGAGATCTCAGTAACAGCCTCATTTGTTTTTCTGTAATTGAAATAAGATTATGCAAGTAATTAAATGATGAAACATAAGAATAAAGAAAGTCAATGACTCAATTACTAAAATTTCTTTCTTCTCACAGTAAGCTATTTAACACTTTGGAAGTATCCTCTATGACAGGGTTATCCTGTTAAAAATATTTAACTTAGAAGATATTTAATTATTCTGTACTCTCTTAATTTAAAATATGTCATTTAGAAACGTATAATTTAAAAAGGACTTAAAAGTATAATCGTCAAATCAGATGCTGTTTCACTATTTTAATTCAGGCATCTTCGAATTGACCTTCCTCATAGCTTGATTGCCTAACTATAGCTCCACATTCTAACATCTTGCTAACTCGTGTCTGAACTCTGCTTTCGTGAAAGTCCGCAGGACGATATATTTCTTGATATGGTTGATAAAACGTCAACGGGGGATAATATCGTTTCTTTGGTTTTCTACATTCTGAAAATAAGATATATCACTAATTTATATAATCTTTAGTCTCTTTGACACATGATTTATTCACGATATATAAATTTTTCATAAATTAATGAAAATGAAGTATACTTCTTTAAATGAAATTTCATACGTGTCTTAAAATGCATTCGGTTTAACAATCGATACATCCATACAATTTTAATTAAATTCTTATCATGCAAAAAGAATTATTAAGTTCATATAATTTTGTTTTACCGTGGGGATCAAATTCGTCAGCCGAATCTTCCGAAACATACCAACGTTTAGTATATATATCGTCTACTCTGAAATAAAAATAATATTTTAGTAGAAAGAAGATTCAATGTAATAATGTATGATTTATATGTTACTCAATAATTCACATATATAGCTAAGATTTCTGCAAATATTATTTTTAACTTACGAGTTCCAAGAACATTCTGAATTACTATCAGAAGAGCTCGGCAATGGGAAGGTGTTTGAATTATCCACAAATATTTTCAATTTGTGTGCGCTGCGGGATCTACTACCAAGTATGGAATCCATCCAATAATTTCTTAAAACTGCTCTCATATTTTTGTAGCGAGGAAACCTAGGCTGCTATTGATTAAATTCATTAATATAGAAAACCCATAGTAATTTTTTGAAAATAAGTGAAGTCAACTGTTGAATTGATTTTAAATGAAATCTGGCTTCGTTTCACCTACAAAATTGTGTTTCTTTTATACTCTTACCAGTATATGTTCAGTTGAGAAGTAATTTTGTTCTAGATCCATTCCTTTCAAATTTCGAAAGAACAGTACTACTATTGGTAATACTTCAAATTCATTATTGTACAGATCTATATATTCCAGATTGTACAATGATTTCATACTCAAAGGTAATTTAACCAATTGATTATGACATAGCTTTAACTCTCTTAGGGATGTTAATTTTCCAAAATTCTTAGGAAGAGTTTTCAAGTGGTTGTTGTCTATTATTAATGTAATCAAATTCTTCAAAGTACAAATTTCTTTAGGTAAAAAGAAAATATTATTACAGCTTAAGTTTAAGTTAATTAGATTAAAAAATTTGTTTATTGTTTTGGGTACTTGTGGAAGCCCTGTGCTCTGTATGTCAAGTACTTTAAGACTACACAGACTTTCTTTTTTATTAATGGGTATAGTTGGGAAATAATTTTGGTAAAGCACTTTTGTATTTCCAAGTACTAACTCTTCAAGATTTATCATTCCAGCGATTATGAATTCAACAATCTTGCTATTGAGATCGCACTGTTTCATAAATAATTTTTTAACATAGCATCTGGATGTCCTCGTTGGCCGATGGAACGTTTTAAACCTTGTTTTATTCAGTGACACCGTTTCAAGCTTCTTGTAGCCGGAGCACAATATCCAGTTTGGAAATGAGGGACAGATATCATTTTCTTCTGCATAAAATGTGGTTAAATTAGTACTCTTGGGATAGACATCTAAGTTTACATAATTATTTTGTGAGAACTCAAGGATTTGCAAACTTTCCATTCCTCTGGCTATACAATTTGGAATCTTTTTAAATTTATTGGTGCTGAGATGACAAACTTTTAACTGATTTAATTTTGCATATGAATTTGGAAGATCCTTTAATTGATTTACACTTAAAGATAAAGTCTCTAATTTTGATAAATTTCCTAAATTACATGGAACATATTTGATTTTATTTCCAGAAGCCCATAATTTCTCGAGATTACACAATTCACAAATTACATTTGGGAGTGTTGAAAATTGATTACTATTTAAATTTAAAGATACCAGACTCTTTAGCATGTTAAGAGATTTTGGTAAACCACGAAGGCGACTATTGCTCAAATCTAGATCAACAAGTTTTGATACGTATTCAATAAATCCGTTAGGAAGACTGTGTAAGCTGTTTTGTGAGAAAGATACATTTTCAATAATTTCTTTTCCTGTCATATTTGTGATTTGATTATTAGTTTCTTGAGCCGATGATGTTTTTAATTCATCGTCAGAAGACGTTTCATTTGCTGCAGCACTGTCTTTTGACAAATCCATTGAGTCCACTGTTTCTGTATTACCTCTAACAAACAATTCAAAATAATATTTTATGTATTTTATATTTATTGTGAACTGTAAACTTTATGTAAAATTATATTATTTACACTATATCTTTGTTACATAAAATTCAGTTAAAACATTTTAACAGGTCAAAATAAAGGTCAAGTGATGCGTATACAGAATTCTATAAGAAAGATATTAGGTTTTTATATATCAACATTTACCTTAACTTAATAGCTAAGTACCTAGTAATATTTCATTTAATTTTAATTCCTAACTGATGTTTCACATAAAAAAGGACACTAATAAACCGAAAATTATAATATACTAAATTGGTTAAGATAGAAGAAGGAACAGATTTTTGTTATATTCAATATAAATATAACCTAATAGAAAGTAACACTTTCAATTACAAGTCTATATAGATTTCATGTTAATATTTTCAAAAGGATTTATTACTATTTAGATACTAATTAAAGCTTGTAATTAAAAAATAAATACTGAAATACCGAACTCAAAAAAATGTTGTTAGGAAGTTTACGAAATTACTAGTCAACAGTAAACAATATAACACGTTTTCACCATTAATTTCTACATATGTCAGGTTAATCACATAGATTACACAGAAAGGTTATTCAAAATTGAATTAACGATCATTTTTGTCATATTAGATAATATTTACGAATAACACACAGTTTTTTAAAAAGCATATGAATTCATTTCGCAAAAGTGTATAAATTTTATAAATGAGATATTAAACTCAAATATAATTTAAAACGATTAAATTGTAATGCTAAAAATAAAAACCAATATATGTATTTATATTGATATAAAATTTTATATTTCTGAATAAAAAGGCTACAAAATAAAAAGACATTTTTTTACGTAAAACAGGGCTTGCAGAGGCCAGCTCATTTTATTTAGGAGGCTTATATTTCTGTTTTGTACACAATGTATACGTATATATATATATGTATATATATATATGTATATATATACATATATATATATATACATATATATATATATATACGTATATATATATACATATATATATATATATGTATATTTAATGCGCTGTATACAATCTTTAGAACGTCGTCAAAGTTTTTTTACGTAATATTTTGCCCATATATTCCATTTCGCGTTTCAATGGTGAGATTTACATATTTATGTCAAACAAAATCGACGCTAGAAACTTCAAATTCTTTTCTTCATAGCTATTTCCAAGTTTCGTCAAAATTTCTTTCGTCTGACTATAAAATAATCCTTTTCTTCTTCGTGTACAAAATCAAGGAAGTTCCATTTAGAACATTAAAAGATGAATACATGCCGTAGAAAATTGCACCCTGTTATTTTCAGAAATTAAGTACCTTAGTAATATTAACGAACGAGACTGATTCGCTTAAAAGTTCGTTTGCATACCGTTTTATATCGCAAGACATATGAGCGCGTATTTTATGCGTGTTGAAATGTTAGATGAATAGTGGTTGTTCGATCGAGGGAGAATATGTTTCGAAAAATTCCTTTAGTATCTACATACAAGTATATTATGCTTTGCGTGTAATATTCGATCAACGTATCATCTATTTGTTACCGTATTCACAAAATTTTCCCCTCGTTCGTCTATGTACGTACGCTAGTAAAATTCTGTAACTCGTTATCAGACCCGAACAAAATAGCATTCGGAATAGAAACAGGAAGAAATGACGGTCGATTCGTATGTTCAGTTACGATCAATTTTCAAGAAAATACGATGTATCGATTATCGAATGAGAAGCACAGGAAATTTTGCGCGTGATTACTTTCTATTGCAAATACTATTTTTACTCAGTTCCTTTCATTGTTAACGATAAATAATATCATGATCCATGTTCATCATGATACAAAGAGTTCGCGTATGTGCGCCGATCGACTCGAAATGACAAGAATTGTACTAACGTGACATTAAACTACAGCAATAAAATATTAATAATATTAATAATTATATTAATAATAATAATAATTAATAATAATAATACAAATCGTAGAGTAATCATAGCGATAACAATAATATGGTGCGCAATATAATCTAATATGTGGCATAGGAATATGTTTTTTTTCTCTTGAATTACGCAATTCTGATCGTGAGTATGAAATTGTAATGGATGGTAAATGTGTATCACCGTTAGCTTCGATCGTTATATTCCTTCGAAAGAGCACAATTACATTTAGAGAACCATGAAAAATATGGCGTGGAACTTCTTCATACTTTCTATCGTTAACGTTAAATTCGGTTTTAAGATTGCACGATATACATATATATTGGTTCTTTCTGGGATTTTTTCAACGAACAAAAACGCAAGAAAGAAAGGAAGTAGAGAAGAGTTAGCATTCATACGTATCCTAAACGAAAAATATCAATTCGCGATAATTTCATTTTGTTTCTTACATACGAAAGGAAGTTCCCGCATTTGAGACTCATCATTGTAAGACAATATATTTCCGTTTCTCGCGACGTTCGTGTCCATTATTTAATCGTATGCTTATATACGTGTGCGCAAACTCTTCGTGCACGTACGTGCCTTTCTGTGTTTGTACATTACATCCGGATTAGTCGTACACATTCAATTATTTCTTAGATGTCGTAGATATAACAAACATACTCGCGAGAGGAAAAACTTTCCAGTATGAAAATGTAACGATGAAATCGAACAATTTTTTTGATTATTAGCTGCCATCGATATTTTTCATTAATCTCATACAGTTTTTCAATCCTGAACAATTTTATGTAATCATTGATTCGTAAAATTAGTATCGCGTGAAGATTTATGCTAAATTAATTACATAGAGTGATAAATAATTTTTAGGTACTATTCTAATAGTATCTAATTTAATAGCCCCGATTTTAATGGCAATATCCATGCACGATCTAAATTATTTGAAATATCAAGTTAGTTCACATTGATTGGAGAATTGAATTCGTAGAGATTCTTTCTCTCCGAGTTTAAAGAGAAATTTAGATTTTTGGTAGTTTTGTAAGTATTGCGGTTATAGATGAACAAAGTAGAGGGAGAAGAAGAAGAAGAAGAAGAGAGAGAGAGAGAGAGAGAGAGAGAGAAAGAGAGAAATTCGTTTTCGATTTCTTTCGACTACGACTAAATTTTTTTTCTTTAGATCCGATATCTGCAGATAATTATGATTACAATAAAAATGCAGATAGTTATTAAACGAGATAAAAGACTGACTCTTTAAGTCTATAGAAATTAAAAAAGAATATTAAATTTTCTACCGTTCTACTACTTTCATTTTTTAAATTAGATCTTCGATAAAACTTTTTATTCGGTAGACCAAGAAATAAGTGATTGTGCACTTTTGAATCGAATACAATGTACATAATATATACTCCGTTACATTTGTATACATATCTACATATGCATATATTGTTTCTTACGTTCTTTTTCTTTCAACGATACATGTACAAACGCACAACCGCTGTGCGTGTATACACACGACTGCACGCAAATGCGTATGCAGAATATGGTCACTTATAAAACTCTTTCGTTTAGAAAATATATTTTCATACATACATATATATATATATATAATATAATTATATATAACATATATATATATAATTATGTTATAGATAATTTTGCGTATGTGTGTACATATACATAATATATACTACATAGAAACATAACTCAAGTACCTATATATACATTCTTCTTTTTTATATTTACTCGTATCTTATGGTACTTAATCGCGTATATCCTTGAAAACCATTATTAAGTGGATATGATCGATGCTCTCGAAACGTATAATTTTTTCTATTATAGTTAAAAATGAGGAAAATCAAGGAAACAATATAAAAGTGGTGATGCGATACGATGAAATATTTAAACTATTTCTGCTTTTCTCTTTTCGAATGTTTCGTGCTCGGTCAATATGTTAAATGAAAATCATAGCGACACTATTAATTACTAAGGATTTAACATGCATATCACTTTCTTATATAGTAATCGTATATTACGTCAAACAGAGCTGGAAGCTTCACACACACAAATATAAAGTTCGTTTGTATTTAAATTTCGACAGAGCGATATCACTCTTTTATAACATTCTTTCGTGCATGATTTAGGCATCGTAATATAATCTATAGATCGAAGTACATACTATATCGTAACAATTAGAGTAGTCGCGTTTTCTTTTCCTTTACATCAGGAGAGCTATTAGTTTCGTAGAAAGTTAAGGAAGAAATATTTACGAAACTTTCAAATCAAGCATTAATAAAAGGAAGACGATCCGACAGTTTTAACGGTAGAAACAGTGAAATTTTTATTAGACACTGCTATAATTCTCTAATATATTCAGGCCATTCGTAACATCACAAATTTATATATTAAGTAGTTAAAACTGACACAAATTCTTAGACATATGTATGTAGCTTGATTTTCTTTTATACGAAGTAATGTCAACGTTTCACTCGAATTATATTCAACCTCGTCAGAGGTCCAAGAATGCAGTTTTAATTTGACAATCGGACCTCTGATCAGGTCAATTGGAATACTGACGAAACGTCCAAGTCATTTTACGAGAAGACGCAGCTCACGTTTGAAACTTTCTAACAGTTTTGAAAAATCCAGACTGCACGAGTCACGAGGACTATCTATAAATTTCTAATTCTTCTTTTCATTTTTTTCGGTAGAAACGCTGATTTCAGCGCAAGGCAAGTATCACAATTTTCAGACGTACGCGTAACATCCGGATTCTCGTTAAATTCGTTCACCTTCGCTAATTTTACTTTCACTTGGTCGTGAAACCTATTCGTTAACTTCAACGCATAGAATTCAGCTATGCACGACGACCACTTTACGCGCAATCGAACAGTAATCGTACGAAAAACGTCGAAAGGAAGCGACTGTTGGCGCTCGAATCGCTAAAAAAAAAAGTAAGAAAAGGAGACAAGTACAAAAAAAAAAAAGAAATAAAAGAAAAAAGAGAAGGAAACATCCTCGAGTTTAAAGCGAAAGATGAAAATCGTGCGCGACTAGTTTCGTGCATCGACCGTGAACATTATCGATTAAATGCATCGCCCGCTCTTTTACCGAAGAGAGAAGCGCAAACTTCGTGGAGTCGATCGTACGAAGCTAGTCGAAGCGTGTGTATCTCGCCTTTCAGCGAGATCTGGTAACTTAAGTCGATGTCTCTGGTCCCCGTTCTCGAGATAATACAGTAAATTATTATATTATCACATTCGTGATTAATATACATCGCATTAATCACCAACGTGCTAATATCAACACACGTATATATTAATATATATATATGTAATATGTATATGTCTAAGGTACGCGTTATTTTTCGAAGTCCGTGTCTTCAGATATACTTACGCCCATTTCTTTCTACTCGATTCAGACATTAAACGGAGCCCTTTGCTTTTTCGTATATTATTTTCGTTACTATTCTCTTACTGTTACTACCACTAATATCATTCTCCTCTTGTCATTTTTATTTCTATTAACAATTTACCCACTTGCATAGTTATTGACACGAGAATCGCTTAAAATTTCTCATTTGGAATTTTTAAACGTCATTACGTTCCGATCAAAATCATTTGGCAGTAGTAACAGAGAGTTTTAAAGGAAATATTTTAACTTTCGAAGCGGTGCGTTCCGTTTGATGCGTAAACCGCGTTAAACGAACCGAATATATATTTTTTTTTTTTACCGCGGTCACTTCCATCTTTTTCGTTCGTTGTTGCTCTGCAGCGGTCAACGGCTGTCGTGTGTCGTCCTGTTTCGATCGTCTCTTCCGGAGATGGCTCGTTCCGGCCCGTTCCGGCCTGACGAACGTCCCCATCGGTTTCTATTCAACTTGCAGCCCGTAGACGATTACCACAAAGAAACAAAAAAGTATTTAGCACAGTGTCGCGTGCTGCACGATGTGCAACGAGGTTCTAATACGAAATTCTATCACAGTTTCTCACACTTTATATCTTTTTATTTTTCATCGAGTCGCAATCTGATCGTTTATCGTTGTCGATGCGATCCGATCTTACGGCGTCGACCTCGAAATCCTTCAAATTCCAGCCAAGCATCGTGCGAATCTTCCAATCTTCTCTCGAATTATCTTCTTTCAAACAATCGCGAATCTCAAGGAGAGCAGTAAGCTCGCTCCCTTTCTATTTCTTTCGATCGTTTCGAACCAACTAAACTATCTCGATGTTTGCTCGTTCCTCGTTTCTGTTCGGATACCTTTGGCACGTGATTAATACATTGAAAATGGGCACAACGATGGTACGGATCCGTGACAATCGATATAGTCTCAGCCACTTTGCATCGGTGTCGCTTGTGGTCGAAAGATCGAGGTGTTTCAAGGTAACGGGCCGATGTCACCGGAAAAAGGAGGAGAAAAAGTTCGCGACAAAGAGAAAAGAAAAAAAAGAGACGAAGAAGCAGAGAATTCTGCAGCCGGACTGGCCGTGAAGTCAGTCTTTTTTTCTTTTTCTGTCATCCTCGCACCTTGTTGGCCTTCGAAAGATCTCCAGAGGTCGACCTTGGACGGATCATTTCGTAAAAGCCGAATTGCATCTTCTTCGATAAATCTCGAGTGGCTATTTAACACGATCGTTTCGACGACGATGATTCTCTCTTAGCTTTCCCGTTCCTCTTTTACTTAGGTTCGATGAAGCCTTCTTTTCTTTTCTTCTTTTTCTTTTTTTCTTTTCTTGTCACTGTCGTTATCTATGGATTTCTCTTTTCTTTTTTACTCCTTTTAATTTACGAAGCTTTAAGATTCATGGCCGATTCTTTTTTTCTTCACGGTTCGTTACCAGAAGACAGCCTTAAAACGAAGTTTAGCTTCATCGAACTGAGATTTGTCAACGAGGATCGATCATTTTCGCACGCAATTGGGCCAGCTACGGTATCCTGCGCTCTAAATCTTCATGAAGTAGGCTATTGTTGTTAGTTTCGTGCATCGATGCTGGAGATGCTTCTTCCGGTTGTTCACCGCCACTTAATTCTAATTGGCCTGTGCTGTCGCCGCTGCTAGAGCCACACTCGCCATCGACGAATCTGAAATTCAATTGTCTCGTGTTATTTTAATTGCTCTCTGTTTTCGTAACAGCCCCTTGCCCGCCAAAGGGATTTCCAGACAGAGCGTATGACGTACGATTGGAATGTAATTATCGACATAATACGATTGTTCTGTTGTAAATTTAGTTAACTCCATATCGAAGCTGGTATTTATAATTGCTTTGCTAATTATCATTGTAGCTGTTATTGTTTCAATGTTATTTTTAAACTTGTTGCAATATTCTCGAATATTTTAATAACATCACATATAATTATAGTATTTAAATAGTTCTCCGGCGTTTAATCACACGTTAGATATCAGAAGAATATAACGTACACTACCGTCTATAAATATCTAGCGCAAATCAATCAATAGGACGATATTCTCGATCGAAAAAAATCTTCCTATTATTAATTCTTCTTTTTCTTCCCATCGATGGAATCAAACGTTCTGCAAAATTTAAATCGTAACAAGGAATATTTCTGTACTGTACAAGTTCTTTATGTATCTGTAACGAGTAGCTGATACTTTACAAAATCTATATAAATGTTTAGAAAATGGTTCGAGACACATATTTCAATTGTTCGAAGACCCAAATACCGTACAAATGTATTTGATACGTCAACTTTCATAAATCTTCAATTATATCGCTCTTTCGTTTATATTAATTAATATTAACTGTTATTTCGATCAATATCTGCTAATTGTATATGATTGCTCGAGATAAGATCAAAGGTCAAAATTATATTAAAGAGTTCCATTTCAAGCGTATTTTATATCTTTGTAATAATTTGGAATTGTTCAAGTATTTATGGACGGTAGTGTATTCGATATAGCAATATTTTTTAACGACCAAAGAGCTGAATAGTTCTCCGTGAAATGCAAAACATTCGAGTGGGCGATCCTATTGATATTTCGAGTAGTGCGTGGCTAGTGGTACCAGCTAATTTACTTTCTATTTTACAGAGAAACAATTTAAACGCGTTCGCTAGTTTAAATGTCTCGTGTATGTACATATTTGCAGTTTTTGCGTTCAATCGATTGAGATATAAAGTTCATGGTCTTTCGAAGTCTCTAAAATGAATATCGTATACGCAGAGTGAATTATCAGAAACAAAATATTAAAGTGTTTTATTTTCTTTATAAGAGATACAGGGAAATATTAAGAGCAACGTTTAAACGAAGCACAAAGTGTTCTTGCTTGCTTTCGAAAGGTCTATCTCTTTCAGACTAAAAAATAAACTAAACTATCGTCGATATTTTATTAGAAATAAAGTTATACTTTTGTAAGAGAAAAATTGAACGTCTCACGATAATTATTAACACTTACTTCCTTTATTCGTTAAAAAGGGTAAACAGTGAAAATAATAACGTACTAAAGTAATAAATAAATAATAAGGAAAGTCAATAAAAAATAGTTGATTTAATCAGAAATAAAAGCTTTGAAATAAAATACTAGCGAAAAAAGTCGAAAGAAATAACATTTTACAAAGTTATTTAACTTTTATCTCAAGTACTTATTCGGATATCTTTAATACGACGAGAGATAATTATGCGTTTTATTTCTGGTGTATTATTCCGTGTATTTACTACTCTCAGTCCGATAGATCTTGTAGCGTCTTAAAGGGCATTTTAAAACATTTTCAGTAGACGGAACGCTAATCGAAAATTCGATGATATTTCCAACAATTTACGAATTACGAACAAGATTCGATAGCTTCGCATTGTGACAATATCTTTCCTCTCGGAATAGAACAATTTCATTAAATCGAATTATGTTTAAATCGTACTAAATTACTATTCCTAATTTGCGAGCATTATATATACCATATATAACGTATCTCATAGTTTATTAACGTTATTTGCATGTTACGATACGACGCTGCTTTCAGACGCAATGAATCACAATGCAATTAATTACCTTGGCCTTGTGACGCTCACACGAGAAAGAAAAAAACGTAAGCGTGAAAGAAACAGCATCGCGTCACTATCTTTTGTTTTCTTAGTCAATGTACCGTTGATGAGGCCTGTTTTTGTGGCAAAGACAGGCTGTTGGCTCTACTCCAACGACTGAGAGATAAATCGAGTTGTCGTGATTTAACGCGGTTACCGAAAACACTTTCGAATTTCTCTTCGTTAATTATTCCGGATTTGGGTACGAATTGTACGATGCTTGCGAGAAATGTCTTCTTTTATTGAACACGCGACAGAGGCAAGAGGAGGGGAGCGGCTCTGTAAATTATGGATGTTAAAAAAATCGAACTCGTTCTCGATTTCACGCTAAATATTTATTGGCGAATTTCTTTTAAACGGTCATCCTTTAAAATTGTGAAACGAAGTTTGTACATGTCGACCGACCAACTTTTGATATTTTCCAATATTTACTGACACTGCATTACAACCTCGATGCCTATGATGCAATTAAGCTGACACGATGCCACTATCTTGCCCGTTATCTTACAATGTTATCTTATAATTTCGATGTTGACCAAGTGTTTTCCTTCGCATCTTTCTCGCTTTTTCTTTTTCCTTTTTCGCCAACGATCGAACAAATCTTTGTGTCATCGCATCGAACAATGTCCTGAGCAATCCTGAGATTGTCGATGAAACATCGATCGATCATCCGAGGAAAGGAAGGGCAGAAAAAATAACAGAGAAGCATTCGATTTTTGTATATTTGCAAAATCGGTAAATTTCGCCGGAGAAGAATTTCAAAGTCAAAAATTAAGCAAAGCGTTAATCGGTGTTTAGTTTATTCGTGGCAGAAGGAAAGATAATGCCAGTAAGACGAGTATTCCGACAGCGGATAAAGCAAAGGTCGCCGATAAAATTGCTGTCTTTGCTTTCGAATGTCGATTCGATATCGGCGAATGTTAACGTTAATAAATAATAACGAATAATATTCTATTTATCTTGAACGTGGTCGGCTAGCAAATATATATATATATATTTATATATACACAGGGTGGTTGGTAACTGGTGGTACAAGCGGAAAGGGGCTGATTCTACGCCCCTGAAAAAAGAAGTCGAAAATATAGAATACAAATTTTTCGTTCGAGGCTTTGTTTTCGAGAAAATCGACTTTGAATTTTCGCTCGGTACGCGTGCACTTTATCACGTCTCGTTATAACGGATCTCACTGTAGATTTTTAAAAAAAATTAAAAAAAAAGAAATTAAAAAAATTGTTATTTTATATTTTCGATTTCTTTTTTCGCGTAGAATCACCCCCTTTCCGCTTGTACCACCAGTTACCAACCACCCTGTATATATATACATACGGAACGTTCGAATTCGATAAAACACGAATCCGATGTTAATGAAGACATTTCGATTGCACCATTTAGGGTTCAGCGAGCGCAATCGCCGTGAAATGTGAAATTTGTGGCAACGAGTCGCAGTACGACCGGAATATAAATGTTCATGTAACTAATTTGCTTGGTATGTACAGCTTCTATCGGAATTAACAATCACTGCTCGCTGTTCGTTTTGCAATTAGAAGATAATGTCACGGCAACGGATATTTACAATCAATGAAAGAAGGTCGGGGGAATTCGGAGATTAACTGATAGAGAGGTTTGTAAAATCCTCATTCGCGTTGAGAAATCAGAATTTCCTGAATGCACTTGGAAAGACAGAAAGTTTGTGTCATTTTTATAACGAAATAAGCGAAATGAATATTTTTAATCGATTACTTAATGATTATCTTATTTGACCTTAATTGATTCATTTTTGATAGTAGAACTATAAATCGTAGCAATATAATTGTTCTTCATTTTGATCTTTATCTTCGTATACATGAATATCTTTTGATATTCGAAACGATATTTTCGGCTGCATCTTTATCGCTTTATAAAATGATGTAATGAATTTCATACATAACGTACACGCGTTAAGAAAAGTAATTCACCTGATTCGAATTTTTCACGAGTATTTTACGTGTTCGAATTTAACCGTATAAAATTCTTACTTTAATCTCTGTCTTTATACAGTCTTCCCATTTTTGATAACGATTAAATGACCATGTCACATTCGAGTATTTGTAACACGGAATCAAGCCATTTAAATTTCGCTAGAATAATTCCTGTTTCATTACTCATCGAGAGCATACAACGGAAGTTTAATTTACCCAGAATAACTATTTATAATTTATAGTTATTTACTTTACTTACAATTTACTGGGTAGGTACTTATCTGTATTAAATTGTATCGTTAATTATTTATTCGTAAGTTTTTAATAGAAAATTTGAAAATTAATTCTTACTGCATACGATCAAAACTTCCTACGGAAATTTCAATGAAAAACCATATGTATAATAATGTTATGTATAATAATGATCGTGTCTTTGTTAATGCCGAGACTATATCGATACAAAAGATTTGACGTATCTGCTAATAATTTGTTAAATGGATTCAAAAGAAGAATGCTGTAACCCTATTTGAAATTATATCGTAGTCTTCGATTAGTGGGATGGAATGATAAACAGGAAAGGAGCAAGATATTTGGAAATATGTAAGTATGCGAGTGCAACGGACGAGAAAGCATCGAGGCGTTGAAAGAACGGTGAAAATAAAGAAAAAGCGGTGCATCTTTGACCGTTTAATGGCAATCGGACGTTGTACTCTAACTCGGTTACATCGACGTACACGACATTCGAAACGCCTCTTGCAAAAGTCGATTATTTAAAGAATTTCCAAATCTCACCCACCAACGTGTGATATTTGAAATTATCGTTGAACCCATCCTATCGAATTGTCCTAGATACAGAGAATCTCGTTTTAAATTCCAGATTAAAGAAACTCTAAATAAAAGTCTCAACTGCTTTGATGACCACAGGTTTTCTTTCTTCTGAAAGACGCGACGTTACATAACAAGATCTAATCCTCGTAATATTTTCAATCTTTATTATCCTCACTGACTATACGCAATTGACGTGATGTTAAAACATATAAAAAAAGAAAAAAAAAAGAAAAGAAATGTGTGCATTAAAACCATGCCTTCGACTTGAACCGCGAAAATCCATTTAATAATTAATTGAAATATAAATGAAGCACATACATATAAAATATAGAATTCTTACGATATAACAAAGGAAGAGTACCAAAGAGAAATATTTTAACGACTGTTCTACTTTTTTTTCTAACGTATAGAATGTGTCCAACGTGACACACAAGCTGTCGTTACACTAGAAACTAGAAAATAAGTTATTACGCTTCGAGTGGCATTTTAAAATACGAAATTTGAATATCTCTACGGGCATTATCTTTATCAACAGATTACGTTTACCGTGGATTAGCGCTCAGGTAAAACATAATCACGCGATAGTCTCGAAGTTAACCAAGTGTAATTGATTTGCCGCAGAGATGTCTTATTTTCTTTTATCGATAATCGCGATTCTGTCCTTCTGCTTTCATTTTTATCTTTTTTTTCTATTACTACGTACATTCCTTTTAAACGAAATCGCGTACGAATTGATAAAACTACTTACGTATACGGTTGCTCCTCGCCACGCATTTCACATATGACGTTTGTCAGGGCCATTATGTAATTCTTGGCCAACGTAAGCGTCTCTATTTTGCTGAGTTTCCTTTCCATTTTTACGTGTGGTATCACTTCGCGTAGTTGCTGAAAATGATAACATTATTCCCGATAAAGTCGACACTTCAATTACAATTGAAGTTGTGTATGCCAGAGAAGCCGTATTTATATCGCAGTGAAGATTTCAGAAAAGATTAATAAAATAAAGACACGAGTGAGAATTTATCCATAGAAACCATTTAAACATAGAAAAGTTCCTTGAATTTTTTTATTCTTACAGGGTGTTAATAAATAAAAGACATTTGATAAGCTGTGATTTTAGACGATGAAGTAAGTTCACGTACAAAAATGTCGCTTCAAACCTATTTTTCAAATTACCATTCGATTTTACGTTAGAAGTATATTACTAAATAATTATCACGCAGGTTAATGAATCAGCTAACGAACTTTTTTCTCTATCTCACTCATAGTCCATGTTTTTCACTCTGAGGAAGTAAATGATAATTGGATTCCAACTGTCATTAAAGCGAGAAACGCGAAGTGCGAGTGAAATAGAGAGAAAGGTTCGTCAGCCGATTCCTTCCTTAGCTATCAGTATATTTCTGGCTCTAAAACTAAATTCTTTATAATTTGAAACGATAGTTTTGTACATGAACTTTTTTCATTCGTTCAATATTCTTCATATCTATAATCGTATTATAAATATTCAAAATGTTCTCAACACCCTGTACATGTCTACAAGTTTCTATGTCTTACGATATCCATATCTCGTTGTCTGTCTATTTCTCCTCGACCTCTTTGCGGAAAGATGACTTTTGCATAAGGCGATGCAACGAGCTACCATATGAAGTTTACAACTCTGGATTCCCTTATTTCACACCCCACCGCGCGTCTCCGCCCTTAAATAACATCTCAAGTACTACACGAATCGCCCACGCTCACGGCAGATCCGGCACTGACTGGCAACATCTCCTAGATATTACGCTTCTATTATTCCGTTGAACGGAGTATTGTGCGGAGCATGGAAGAAAAAGCCTTTGGGGATATGAAATAATAAGATCGTATTGGAACGAGGTATTCGAAAGGATAAAGTTAGCGCGTTCAATACGTGGTTTGAAAAATGAAATTTCCTATCGACTTAAGTAACTGTGCTTTATTATATTGGAAATAGAAGTTGAAGATTTTGTAGTTTGATAATATCGCGAATTGAACGTGTAATTTTTTTCAAGATAAAAAGATACGAATTCAAAGATTGAATTGAATTTGAGTACTTTTCAATATATAGCGTCTCATTGTTGTGAACGTATTATGTGCGTTGTAATATATCATGAATATAACAATTCGTTAGAATCGACACAAAATATATATATATACAATAAAATAAATAAATAAATATATATATATTTATAATATATTATAAATACATTATTTTCATCATAATCAACGATTACGCTACAATTGTAAGAGATTTTGATAACGAGTATTCAAATATATAATATCTTTGTGAGTTAGTGTAAATTCAGATTTTCAGATTTCCTACGATTAACTTTCAAACGAGTAAATTTACCGTGGACATTTATTGTTTTTTTAGAACGATTGAAGTGTGTCGTGAAAAGCTGCTCACGAATCGTAGCTATTTTGTAACGCGTGGAAAATTACCTCGAAAGCGTCATTTAGGGAATGCATTCTCATTCTTTCTCTCTCGTTGCTCTCGAGCCTCCTCAGGTTCCTTTCCCGCGCAGAAATTCCACTTTTTCGTCTTCTCGTCGTCGGTGGTCCTCCGCGATTTCTTCTTTTCGCTTGTTTCGGGCTCCTCTCGCTGCCACTACTGTCACTCTCCTCACCCACCTTTTTAATCGTTTCGAAAAGACTCATTAACTTATGTTCGCTCCTTCCACTATTCTAATTACTTCGCTAACTATTTCTCTTTCTTGTTCCTAAATTAGCAGGGAACAATTCCCCCGGATTGACTATGAATATTCCAACGACGAAAGCAAACTTACGAAAGGTTTATGGAATTTACATGTACGATCGATCGATGGAAGAAGATGTTAGAGAAAAAGTAATTTTATTTGGAATATTCCTCTGAAGTGACCTCTGTTTACTTTTAGTAAGAAACGCTGATTACAATGCCGATTAATGAAACTGTGTTCTCCATTTTTTTTCCAAGACGTATCAGAGGCGAAACTTCTCGCATTGATCCTCGCATTTCATCGATGTACTTTCATTATGTACGATATAATCACGGAATTATATAACGAGTCGTATTCTAATATCCTCTGGAAATTCAAGTTACTCGTAATGTAACAGATAAGATTAAGATTGCTCTGATATCTATAATATAATTTTATTTGCTGCTACACTTACACGTATATTCTCTGTACAAACTACGATGATACGTAATTAGATTCTCGCTTGGAGTCCTTTTTTCGAAAAAGGCAATCGATAGATACATTTACTGGTGATATTTCTTGCGAGTATAGCAATCCACGTATCGCTTCAATATTTCATTTACAAGTTAATTGTCTTATCGTTATTTATAAAGAATAAGTACACGAGTACTTATTTCCGTATATCAGCTACGTTAATTGAATTGGAACTACAACAAACGTTATCTCTAATCAATCAAAAGAAGATAACACAAAGTTGCTGCACCTGTACGGCTCTTCTTGGAAACAAAATTATTGTGAAATTGTAGAAACTATGTTGTACGTACCGAATCTTAATCGATGATAATGAGAAATATTTGCAGTTTTAGATTTCACTTGAATATATATTATTCTAAATATATCCTCCTTGTTATCTCTGTATATGTTGTATGCTTCTACAAGAACTAAAATAACCTGTTCAGAGCGTTTACAAAGCTCAGTACGTGATAACTTTATCTTTGTATTTTCTTTCACGCGTAACTCTCACATGTATGCAGTGATCATAGTTTAACTGCATAATATACGCATGTATTATTTTAATGGTACAGACATATTAATAATTGACAATTTATCTTCGTATATTATTCATCTTATCCTGCTGTCGTCGACGAAAAATCTGTTCATTTTTATGAATGACTTTCCATATAATAAGCGAGGTAAAGTTCTTGAATTTGTAATTAATCTCGAACCTCAAAGACTCGATACTTACTTGATAAACTTTATCAATCGATGTTGTAACTACATTGAGGTAAATCAGTCCGTATAAATTATTAAATTTCATATTGTAACAAATCATACCAAGAAAATATGATATACACCATGTGAGAATTTTTATTCATTATGCTTTCTTCACAGAATTTTATCGTGTCCTTATGTTTACTTTTGCACAGTACCTTGGAAAAAACTTAAAAATATTGGAAAACACGATTTATGCCGACGTTTTTAATCATCAATGTACATGTATAATTTGTTGTGTACATTCATACAACTTTTTCACGTATTCTCGCATTTTTACTCCTGCACAGTGCCATAAGAAGTGCCCAAGCGCAAAGAAACGAGTAACACAGGCTATTTTAGTTTGAGTAGAATTTAATTTATCCGGCCTCGAAGTGCCTCCGCTAGCACGTCGGACTTAATTACACCGAAAATAGAAGAAAAGTCCTTACCTCCGCGCCAACGACATGGTGGCGACTTCGTTTTCCGGTAAGCGAATCGACGGAAGCGTCGTCTAGGTCGATATACATCTCCTGATCGCAGTCTTGATCGCTACCCGATAACCTCTCCAGGCTTCGCATTATCCTGAGGAAAGTTACGCTTTGGACCCCCTGCAATCGTACACGGATCTAACATTAATCTCCGTTTAACGTTTCAAAATATTTAAATACCGCTAATTCCATCATTGATATTCACCGATTCATCATCACTAGAGTTTCAGACGTCCGGTTCTCCGATTGTGTTCCGTTAGTATTTGTAGAAAGTATCGCGAAAGGAATCGATAATTTTGTCGTGCAATTACGTTGCTAATTGCTGTGTCTAAGTAAGTCGTCAGTTGTTAGTCATTAAGAAATTCGTTCGACTACATTGGATTTCAGGTGAATCAATTCATCTTCTTGACTCATAGCAGGTCATTGTCTTTTTTTCTATGTAATCGTATAAGCGGTTTAACAGAGCAATAAATGATCTTCTCGTGTATGTTGCTGTATAATGGCTAAGCGTTTGAGCAAGTCGACTGTTGTTAGTCATTAATCCTATGGTGCACACGTGGACAAAAATCACATCAGTGCACACGTGAAGAAAAATCACATCAGTGCACCGTTGGGCCCGTCGACAGGCCTATTACCCCTACCTCTTTAGCTTAATATTATTCTATAAGTTTTCATGTGGAAAATAATCGTAAACATTCAAGGGTATATATATTTATTTTATTGATATCAACAGTCCAAAATATCTTGGAAAAAGGATATAGTTAAAAAAATGTATACTTTATAACTTTTTCTACACAGTATGACACGAAAATATTTGGATATTTATATAAAACATTTTGAAATTTCATTAGCGCTATAATAAGAGATAATTATCACGGTTTATTTGGTAATATTTGAAACTTTGAAGATGCACAGGAATTAGAATTGTAATTTATACTTTTAGTAATGTATATTAGGTCTTTTGTATTTTGATTTATTTAGGTTTGCAGTAAGCAATTTGTAACTTCTATACACATTTTCAGACTGGTGTGAAATTTTACCAATCTACGTATATACATAATCACCATAGACTGTTTCATTACGGTGCTAATAAAATTTCAGACAGTTTCATATAACACGTGTAATAGTAACATTCTTAAAAAATTTTCGTCGATAAGTGTTCAAATATTTTCGTAAACCATCATAAGTAGTTTAACAGTTCGATGCGTAACCGTGTTAACTCGATATCAATTATGAAGTGGGTAAAGCTAACTGTGAATTCCTGTAAGTTACGAGAAGACAAAGGTACGCAGTAAGAATTTCGATAATTCGTTGTTGCAATAGCCACCGATCCCTAGTGTCAACTAAAGGCAAGGTAAATGTGCAACGATATTGCGCGCATATTAACAGTTTCTAAAGAGAAATTCTAATTTCGGTATCAAGCATTCGTCGAATTCCAAGCGTACCGAAATTCTAAACTGTCTGTCTATCTTTTTGATCGATCGAAAACGCATGGAAAACTACATAGAAAAATTTGAAAGGTCTACAATGTCGAACTTTTAGAAGGAGATCAATGGGGAAGTACAAATGTAAACAGTGGAAGATTGCCATAGCAAACAGATAAACAAACTGGGGAATCTCCCGATAATTTGAACGGATGTATGTATAAACATTTCAGGACAATCAAGAACCACTCGCACGAGAGACGTGTACGCAAACCGAGAGATAATCGAACTGGGATATCCCGTTTTCCCTGACTCTGCTTGATTCAATGCCAAGAATTCTTCGCACACAATTACGTCGTTCGCTGTGCTCTACGATCTGCGATTAAGTAATTGTGTGTATCAACGCGACGACCCGGCGCGACGTATGGATAGTTATAGGTCGAGGAATTATCAACAAAAGAAAATAATGTAATCACGATTTTTACCATTTTTTAATTATTATTCTCGATGTTCATAATGTTGTTTGATTTTTCATTCTTCTCTATTTTTTCTGTGTGCTTGAATCGGGAAAGATGGTTTCCAAATGGTATTTTTATTATTATTATTAATACGATATATATACATGTACGTATTTCGATAGACTGTTATTATCGGGTTTATATTATTTAATGAATACGTCACATTTAATTACACTATGATAAGAACGATCGACAAATTAAATTTAAAATTCATTGATATCATTATGTTTAATTCTATTATTTAATAGATATATATATATATTACAAGAATTTACTAAAAATATCGTGCATTGGTATAAATGCATATTGTACATAGTACGACATACATACGAATGATTATTTTATCGAACACAAACGACGAGTTTACAAAATCCAGAAGAAAAATATACGTAGATATATATAGAAACTGAAATAACGTTGTATAAGTATTATCAAAACACAGTCGTAATTAAAATTCCTAGTGTATATATGTATAGAATTGAAGAAACAGACAAGTTCTAACGTTTGTTAAGTTCGAGTATTACTTTGAAGAGAAAAAGCAGCGAAGAAAATATGGAGAGAAAGCCTGTTGCGACTGATGCTTTCTTCTGGATTGGCCAGTTCGATTTTCTCGTTGGGGAAACTGACTCGTAATAATTCTGCGTTTTTATACTCTTCGCTGAATATTCCCAACTACGTATTTAACACTAAACAGAGTTAACGCTAACGGAGTTTTAACATTTCATACGATAATTTTTAAACGTTTTACATAGGATAAACGGAGCTAATAAATAATTACGGCAGTAAGTTACGAAATAATATACTGGCGAAATTTATGACTGTCGATGTTGTTACGTTAGCGAGTTACTTACGATCATGTGAAAATAATTATACATTGCACATTATAATCTGTTATCGTAATTGTTTCTAATGTACTGGCTGGTGTAGCGTTCCATACTGGTACGGTGCAATAAAAATTTGCAGAAGGCACCTATTATTTCCATAGAATCTAGTGTAGAAGCATAATTGCACAGGCTACGTACATATTGACACAGAGAACGTGGATTCCAGCTAGCCAGGAAGTGGAATATTGCGAATCCTTTTTTCTCAGTGAAATATTCTTGCTCGAGAAAGGTTAACCGTGTGAAAGATGGAAAGGAAAAGAGCTGTCATTCAGAAAGAAAATTACCTTGTGGCTGGTTGAAATTTTATTTAGAAAGGATTTCGTCGTTCCATTTCTTGAAAAATCCCATGAAAATTTCAACTTTACAATTTTCTTTTTAAAAGTATGACAATTTCGTGATATCCTAGAGTTTTATTTTTTACAAATTCAAACATTCTCTCTCACGAACGATATCGTAAGTTTGCTCAAGTGGTTTAAAAATACCACTCATTAGACAGGAAACTATTTCTTAACTAGATTAACGTGAATTAATCTATACAGCATTAATGACTCGATAATAAACCAAAGTAAATTATTTACTATTTCGTAAATCAGTCTCGAATCCTTTTTTTTTCTATATATACATATATCATTCGATTATCCCGTACAAGATAATTTCACAATACTATGAAAGTCACACATAATAGAAAACTACAACACCAAATAAAAGTCTAATACGATGTCATCATCTCCCATCGAAATGTCTGGAAGCGATTTCCGAATGAACATGCAAGATTCCTCGTTTAAAAACACGTTTGCAGAGAGCCACCGAGCATCGAGCATCGTTACACGCGAAAAAGGCAATTAAACTCGGCGAGTCTTACACGCTTTATCGAGTGTCACAATAAGATCTTCAGCGTGCACTTCAACTGAGACATCAACTTGACTCGATGGCTCGATTCGCGAGATGCCTTCGAGCATCCTTCGATATTAATCTTCGTCGAATCTATTGGTAATACATCCTTCTGTTCGTCGAACACCATCAGCGTTGGATGAATTGCGGCTCGGTCGAATCGAAAGAAAGAGAGAAAGAAATTCCTCTGCGATATTCCCATTGACATTATAAACGTCATTTCTTTACGGTCAAAGAAAATTATTACTCTTCTCTCGTCGTCGTTACTTTTTATCTTCTCTTCGCTTTTTTCTTACCCTCTGTTTTTTTTCTTTCCTCTTTTTGCGCCGTCATCGACCTCAGACCGCAGCGGTTCTGTGACGACATTCACAGAAGCATTCTTGCTCACGGCCGAGTACATGCTCGAAGCTCGCGTATAATGGCACCCAATGCGAATACATTCTGCGACTTCATTAATGACGGGGACACGGTGTATCACGTGGGACCATTACACCGAACACACACGACTCTGTTGTGTGAACGTTACGTTACCGGAGTTATCTAAGTCGCGCCGCGTGTCAAGTCCTTCGGAGTTGGACGTGTGTCTATTCATTAGCGATATAATGCACCGGATCACATTATTATCTGCACACCAGGAATCATTTGTATATATATTATTGGCGAAACATGTCGGGATATTTATCCGTGTTGTATATGTAACCGGTATATTGGCGAAACATGTCGGGGAAAAGAAACTGGCTGGTTCAAACTGGCTCGAAAATTCAGCAAACTCGTGGGACTTGATCCACTTTTTGCGATGTTTCGTATGCCGGCGATATAATACGGTCGTGTAGCGTTTTAAAAACACGTAAAATTAATGGCACATGATGGGACATCAGCTAGGTGGTATATACATATAGAAGTATTTCGTGGAACATTGCTTGCGTGTAAGTGAGTGTTTACTAATAGACTAGATATTTGTATATGTATGAAAAATGTTTATGTTCAAAGATATGTAGGTTTTATATGCACAAATGTTATAAAACATCCGAAGTTAGACCTATTAAATATCATTATGAGTATGTAAGTTTACAATTGTCTGTAATTAATCATAAGTTGACTAAGACTGTCAGAATCCTCGATGATAATGTTTCGCATGCTCCATTGGATATTCCTAGAAAGTAAATTGCAGATGTTTACGCAAATTCGTATTTCTATGGATACGATTATAAAAGTGGAACGTAAACAGACGTATTACATATTATTATGAATACCTGATTGTGTTTCATTTTTATAATTGTGTTCGTAGAAAAATTGTCGTGAATGATTCTGCAAGTCTTAGTCAACTACGATTAATTACAGAAAATGTTATCTTTAACTTGATTCTCGATAACTTTTAAATGCGATTTGTAAATTTCGTACAA